CTTCACATTGTGGCCGCATTACCACATTGGGTATGCATAATTTTTCAATATTTCAACGGCCTGTCATCAGTTATTCCGTAGTTCAAATCCTGTATATGAAACTGCTCACTCATTCACTTATCCATTATTCACTACATAGTGAATGCTATCCTTCACGGCGAAAGGTTGAGTGAAAATGAGTTACATATAAGGAAAAAACATTTCTGATCTCACCTCCCATGCTGAAATGCATTTCCAAAAATGCATTTTTTATTTATGATTTATGAACTTTTTTGAAGATGTATACAGAGACAGAAATTTAAATTGAAAGGGGAATACAATTTTGATATGAAAGAAAGGGCTGCCATATTTTTGTAAATATTGTGTTGGGTTGACTTAGGAAGAATGTAATTGTCTTTAATGTGAATTAGGGCTTTTCCCTTTGAATAAAATGAGTTGTCTTGCCTTCATTCAAATAAAATCTGTGCAACAGTAGTAAAGGCAGGCAGGTCAGGTCCAGAACGTATGGATTAGGGTAGCTCAAAAATCTAAATTTCATTCAAACCACATGGATATAGTTTGGATTGGGATTGCTTTTCAGACTACTAACAACTGAGTTGAATATTCCAAACAATTAGATTTTTTTTTCCCCTGGCATTTCAATCTATTTTTATTCATTTTTGCTTCAAAGGAATTCTAGAGCAGTTCGGCAAAAGAACAGATGAATTTGCAAATGAATGTGAGCCTGACACTTAAACAAGAAGGTTTGTTTAGATTGTATGTAGAATGGTTTGTGGTTCTGGTTCCACTTAGTCTAGTTATTTCTTCCTGGTTCCACTGTTCATCCTCTTTCTCATTAGTGCTCATTTCCTTAATTTAGTAAACATCTTGAATGGCCTTCTAGCAGCGCAGGGTCTCCAATTTTTAATGTGAAGCCTGTTTGCACTTTGTTTCCTGTCTGACTATTAAAGATTTTTTTGTGTGTAGTAAAAGCTAAACAGATGCAGTCCAATTAAATACAACAACTGTGAAAAAAGGCTAATGGTGTAAATCCTAGTCTTGGTTCAGATGTTCTTTTGTTGACCTGTTTTAACTTAATACCACCAAATTTCAGTTTCTTCTGTAATATTCATGAGCTCACTGGCTGTTTCATTTCCTTTGCACAATGACCTGAGCTCTTTCTCTGTGAGGTTGATAATTACTGTCTGAGAAGGATCTCGGTGCCTTTGTGAATGACTTTTTTAACCTCATCCATCTCATAAACCACCCTCTGTAAGCACGAAATCCTCAGTTTCCTCTCAGGCCACGAGTCTTATGTTGCTTACATCCGCTTATCGGTGAGGTTATAGCAAGATCAGTCAAGTGCCAGGAGGGTATTCCACCAACACATGAGGATCAATATCAGAATTGGCCGGCAACCAAATGTACAATCCCTTTCCTCTCGATTTTCTCCTGTCGATGTAAAGACCGACTAATCACAAGTACATTCAACCTCCAATGAAACCCTGTAATCTGGGAGGATCATGTTTGATTGGTGTAGCAAGATCCTTAGCATCTCTTTTTCATGAGAATTGTTTTTATCTTAAAGCCCCCCTGTAGTCAATAATTGTATCCCTTAAAACTCCTCTTTGATCGCCAAAATGATATATTTAAACTGTTTTTCTCCTGTGTGTGAACTCTACACCCTTGCTTCATTTATTATAAGCGGAACCATGAATATGCAAATTAGCCCCGCTTCCACTCAATCAACTTAACTGAATTAAAAGCTGCACAATGGTATCGCTCTTTACAACATCTGACTCATAACGGTAATTAATATGATTAGCCTTTTGCTTTACTACGTTATCAAACAGCTAATAATGTGTTACTAATGTTACACAAACCATGTTCCCTTTCGCCATCGCCCAGCTTATAGTTCATCATAACATCATATACATCATATGCATAATGCACTCGCTATATTAAATGTACCCTATTTTTCATATCAACAGAAAAATATACTGGGATAACCTTCTCTTGAGACTCGTGATTGGTTACAAGGTAGTTTGTGATGCAGGGCCGGCGCCAAGGGGGGCATTCGCGGGCCATGGCCCCCCAAACGAGTTACTGTGCCCCCCATCCAAACCTCCCTTCCTTCCCTCCCCGCTGAACGCGAACGATTACAAATGCGTGAAATGCACATACACGGAAAAGTTAGTTTTAGGTTCGATATTATTCACCGGACATTTGTTTTCCCTTTCCACTGTTCTATAGGATCGGCAGTCTTACAAAGATATCAATAGCAGGATTAGTTTTAATAGTATGTAACCATTGTATATCGACATGAAATATTCATTCAAAATCACCTCATTTATACTCGAGAATGCTTTGACGCGCTTCCACAGCTCATGATGCCTAAGGGAACATCTGGCAATTCCACCAACTGCGTTAAACGTAGCCTATAATTTATTATCTAAAATTACTTTTAACATTTAAAAACAGACATTTTCAAATTCCAAAGCTTGTAGAAGGTTCCTATTGGTAAGACCGACATACTACAGGTGAAATTGTGCCAATAACTCCCTTCATGTATTTACAGTAAACAATTATTTTTATATATTTATTTTTATAAAGGGTTTTTGGTGACTTACTACAGGTGAGATTTTGTATTATTTACCTGTAGTAAGTCAAGTCTGGTTACTAGGACCGTACTACAACCATGGCTGTAGCCAGCTATGAGGTCTGGACCTCTGTATTTTTTAGAGGTGTATAATAAAGGTAAGTATAATAAAGCCGTTTTCCATCATATTGGGTATAAGATTAATAAGAAATGTGTACATATTGTGAATGAATGTAATACATTTAGTTAGCTTTCCTGGTAACCTTCAGTAAATTAACTTTTCTAAGAAAATGATTCATAAAACATATCAATATCAGTTGACCCTATGTTTGCTTTCTACACTGCCACAGACAAAAATGAAAATACTATCAGTCAAAGCTCAGCTTTTTATAGCTAGTTCTTATCCATTTTTTGGCCTTTTAAAAGTCTTAAATTGCACATATGTAGGTCAGAGAAATCATAATTTTCTCGGAGGAGCTCTGTCTGTATACAGCCCTGAGTATAACCTTTGTAACATGGAAAAAAAGTTTTTTGGGGTGAGTTACAGTAAAAAAAATATATATATATATTTTTTGTACTGTAGCCTACAAGTGAAGTGAGATATTGGCAGAAACTCATACAGTAATATCAGTCTAAGAGTAAGAATACCACATGGCAATTTCATTGAGAGGAGAATTTACTAGGAGACGGCTGAACTGATGCGATCGTATAGCGTCAAACGCGGTTTCCTTGAGGATAAATATTGAGTTATGCAAATAGGGCTTTTTGTTTTCACCTGTGACTTTCACCTATCACCAGTGATAAAATGCAATGAATACCAGTTGACATGGCTAAAATACACCTTGACAGCACCTTTATTTAGCAGAGAACAAATGATGGAAATATGCTGCTCTCCTAGAGACATTTATGGTTCACTTGTTTGTTTCACTAACTGCCATCCTCCGATATCCCGAGCATTAATCTCTACTCTTGTTTTAATGTTGGGGTGTTTGCTATATTATTTTTTCCTACGCTGCTTTGAATGGCCTTTTCTCGACAGGAACGTATTACTCATTTTTCATTACCCTAGAGAAAAAAACGGCAGGCTAAATTCAGGAAGTAGGGGTGCAGCGAGCGAAACAGTTCAGTCAGTGCCAAAGCAGATGTGCTGTTAGATTTCACAGTTACGTTTTCACACATTAAAACTCTAAAGGGTAAAGAAGTTTGATTTTAGGTGCTTTAGACTACCAGCTTCAGTATTTTTATGTTGCTGTCATTCCTCCTTAATTGTTTTTGCCATAACAGAAGAAGGTTTATATAAAAGCAAGTGGTCATCAAGAAGATTAAAACGTGCTGCCATGAGGCCTTATAGATTTTTGAGCAGTGTTTTACATCGCTGTAAATTAGCCCAATAAAAACTCAAAGCATTGTTCAATTCAGTCCACACATTACGCAATGGTTATCAATGTAGTTGGGTTGTTTGATTAAAAACGTGTTTCAAATATACAGCTTTCTCTAGGGAAAGTAAATCTTCCCCTGAGTTTGGCACAATGGGTCTGCATAGCACTGAGGAGTGTAAGCCATGACTACGTTTACATGTGCACCAAAATTATTTTTTATCATTATTTCCAATAATCAGATTAAGGACCTAATCGCAGTAAGATGTTTATGTAACGGACATAGGCCAGTAAGAGCTGTGCGTGTAAACCTCACTCCCCTCAAGAGGTGTGCTAGCGACTGATGCTAGCGGCTGCGGTCTTTAGTGTCCTTTTTAGCACACCCGAGACCCCGCTTCGAATCCCGCTCAGAGTAGGACCGGTTGCATTTGGTGCCGTGACCCGGATAGGAGTGAGGTTTAGGGGGTTGAGTGTAACGGACGTAAGCCAGTAAGAGCTGTGCGTGTAAACCTCACTCCCCTCAAGAGGTGCGCTAGCGACTGACGCTAGCGGCTGCGGCCTTGTTAGTGTTACCGCCTCCCCCTCTGTAGACCCTGATTCAAACCCCAAGCAGGTCAACTAGGACCGATAAGTTTTATATGCGAGATAGTTCAATGCGAGTATGGTTACTATGATTGAGCTTAAATCGCATTAGTTTGAGGGAAGTATTGCGTTTACATGAGGTAAAGTTTAATCGCAATATTGCCAAAATCTCATTATAATGGCATTATGAGGGTGCATGTAAACGCACTCATTGAAACCATGATCAGGCTGCATAATTCCTCCCCACATGCTACATTCAGCACAACTCACAAACTCATGCCTTTTTAACTTTGAAAAAAAGTGAACTCTTATGTGTCTAAAAAGTCCTGATCGATGCTACCACAGCTTTGTGCATTACCATAGTAATACTACTGGATCTGATACAACATGCGTAGGGGAAATAGAGGTAGTTAGTCTATGACAAAACATTAATTTAAAAATAATCATGCTTTAATTCTTTTCAGATTGCATATGCTGCGGTGGACTGCACAAAGGGACAAAACCATGAGTTGTGTAAACAGGAAGGAGTTGAGGGCTACCCAACATTCAACTATTACAACTATGGGAAGTTCAGCGAGAAATACAATGGGGAAAGAGGGGTAAGTGATCTTTCATGTGAGTGATTTGAATATAATAGTGGCACACTTAAAAAAAAAAATGATCGCATTTGACAAAATATCAAACTATGTTGCATTATTGTGGAGAAAGCGCAAACAAACTTTTCAAGCAAAAAATGTAATGGGTTTGAAATTATAATGATTGGATCATGATTGAGATCCTTCTGATTGTTAAACTTCAGGTACGATTAGATTTGTGCTCCATCTAGTTCCAACCATATGTACTGTGTTAAAATATGTGTATTTATTGTAATATGTTAATTATTGTTTGTTATGTTATGTTTTATGTTATTTTTATTTTTTTTTGGGAATGGGAGCCCCAGGGGCCACTAACACCGTGTCTTCACTGAATGCCAGCGACGCGACAAAAGACACAAGAACCCATTATAAACAGTGATGCTGTCTACACTGGATGCGGCATGACGCGACAGACAAATCCCCGACCGAAAACTATTTTCGTTGTAATTATGATGTACTCCAAGCACTCATGATTCTTCTCATAGGAAGGACAAATGGATTTGCTACAGTCGCTTTGTCGCATCCAGTGTAGACAGCTTCTGTTGTGGCGTGATGTGACTCATCAACGGTGTAGACACGGGGCCTCAAAAAACTTCCAAGGGGAGCACAGGATGACTTTGTTTAAATTATTGTTAATATATTCAAATATTAACATTATTTAAAATGATAAAAAATCCCCTTTCTTTTAGTCAAAAAGGTTAAGAACCACAGCCTGACATCATCCTGTTGTATCATATCCTGAGTTTGGAGTAATTTCATACGCTTTTCTAGTGCGACGTCACCTTCCGTGAAACATGTCCGCAGTTAATGTGATGAACTACAGTTTACCTGTGGTTACTTTGGTTTAAATTTCCTGTGTGATTTTGAAAAGAACTGACTTCATACATGCACTAAAAATCCCAGCAAAGACAGAAAAGTTCTAGCATAATTTGTTTGCAAAATGGTTTATTTTGTCTTTATTTGATATAAATTTCATGAATTTGACTTCAAGCGTCCAAATATTTTTTTGAGGCCACTGTGGTGATTATTTTCACATTATGAGATAAACTGTTTTTCATTTCTCACTGTGTATACTGTCTACACCATACAGGAAGCTGGCTTTACTGGTTTCATGAGAAGTCTCAGGGGCCGGGACCAAGAGAAAGTGGGCAAGCGGAAGGAGGAGCTCTAATAGTGTGGGCGTGGTTCCTGTAGATGGGAGGAGCCTATCATTGCACTGTGACTTGGGCAGGGACATCCCAGCACTGACGCCACAGACTTGAAACCTCAGCTTAAAAGGCTATTTTTTTATACAGCTGTGCCCTTATGTTTATAATACCAATGTATGACCATCAGACCACTTCAGATAATTTTGCTTTGTTTTGTTTCGTTTTTTTTATGTCCTCTGACATTTTGTGAAATTGTTTCCAAATACTGTGACTTACGTTACTGAAATCCACACCTGAAATCTATGCAACACTGGGCCCTCACTCGCCAGAGTCCCGTACGTGTGACGGGTGGCTGGTGTTTATTGGGGAAAACCAGTTTTCGACAGGATACTTTGCCATCACTCCCATTCCAGCTAGGAGGAATAATGTGTACAATCGTATCTGCAAATATTTTTGTAAAAAAGGAAAAAGGAAAAAAATGCCGTATGACATCATCAAAAAAAATATGGAGAAAGTTGTTGTAGCTGAACTTTGTGGCCTTAAATGTTTGAATAACTGTCGTCCAAATATTTTACTATTTTCGAGAAATACAGTACTAGGGCCAAAATACAAGGACATGTATTGAAGTATTTTTTCCCCTCGTTTTATTGTCAGCTGTGACAGAATAAAATGATGTAACAAAACTGGAAATGCCAAACAAAGAAAATGGATAGAAATAATTTATTTCCCAAATTAATTCTGGAATCCTTGCAATTCTTGGCCCTTCACGTTCCACTGTAAGTTATTGTTCTGCTTATTTTAAAAGTCTTGTCTGGTTTGAATGTCTAGTCTGGTTATGTAGTCAATGACCCACCCCTCTTCTGATTCACAATGCTACTCTTGATCTCTAATACACATGGACATTTCCTCTTCTAAGCATGGATACAAAAGTTGATGATGGGAACCGAAGATCATAACGTCTTCATTTATTCGGGAGGGAGACGGTTTGCTTTAAGGCATGTTGAGTTATGCTCATTTAACACGTCTCGCTGGTTTAAACAGTGTAGTGCCGGAGGATCCGTTTTACTTGCTCTCTGCCAGATGTTGACACTCTTAGTGATACCACAACCCTTCCCAATATCTCTGCGGCGACTACACTGTTGTGTGTGTGTGGAAAACTCCCTGCTCTAGGAAGCATACATATTTAATGGTCTTGTAGCTGAACTTTTGTTGCATAATTCAGAAGGTTGGTTTGTTTCATTATAAATAAGGTTCTCAGGGATAGCGAAACACAATTGAAGAGCACTAGCGCTCATCGTAATTTGCAATCCAGTTGAGTGTTCTCTATTCATGTCGCCGAATTATGAATTGTTTACATGTCTTTGGGAGATGGAACACAAAGAAAATCATTGAACAGGATTTCGGTTTACATTTCCTTGCCAAATTTGCGGCAAGAACCATTGAATAAAACATGAGCCAAGGAACGCTGATGCATGGATGTCAATTATATGCGAGATTATTGCTTCAAAAACAAAAGTTCAAATACTGTCTTTAAGAGTGAAGAATAAAGATCACATGCTGGATTTGTATCATGTAGATAATGGTAAAAGGGTCCAAATGAGGGGAAGGGTACAGATAGCTTGTCAGAACATGTTCAATAATGGTCCAAAATGACAAATGTAATGAATGAGCGCTTGCACAGCTTTGTCTCATTACGTGACACTGTTGTCGAGACATGGGTCGTTTGTGCATTGACATTTTCATCAATATTTGGATGGTCAGGGACTTTCATCTGGTTCCTTTGAGTTATTCTGTTGTAGAAAGGTGTGCTTTGTCTTATCCTAAAGGTCTGTGAAATGTGGGAGCAAGCAACCACGATGCCAAGAAGTCACTGTCGCCTTTATTTTTTTGTGCCCAGCCATATGTACAGTTTTGCTGCATTGATGAACACAATGCAAAATAAAAGGCATTCGTTTCCAAGAACCATTGTCCAAATTATTCAAATCATTTTATGTTAATATTTCTTATTTGGTAATAAACATAGCCATGGAATGCAAGCAGGGTTGTAATAGAGCTTCACTGTTACTTTTTACCCAGGGGATGATGGTGAAAAAATCCGTAGACTTAAATTGAAGGCATATTATAATACTTTAAGATATTATAATATTTTATAACAGAGACTTGGGCAGGCTCTTTTTGACAACATCATGCTAAAAAAATGCCCAGAAAATATTAGTAGCCACATCACTTTGGCATCATACCAGTGAGTTTTGTACACACAAGCACAAAACAATATTTTTTTCTGCATAATTTGCTCAGAGCTTTCGTGTGTACAAAACCAAAGGACAAATGTGGGTTAGTTTTCTGACTTTGTCTGCCTGGCTGACAGATCATTTGTTTTCTATTTGGAAACTATTGTCTGCATTAAAGAAACTTTTCCCTGTTTTTAACCTTTTTACTTCCCTGGAAATGGGGTGAAAATACATGCACACATGCTTATTAGATATCAACTTTTATCCTACTATATGAAATTAGCCATTTTGTCAGGTTAATGAAGCCAACAGAGTGAGACGTCTGACCAAAAAATTGCTATTTTTGGAGCTGTTGTTTTTTTGTTCGTCTTTTTGTAGACACGGTCATGGTAAATATGGGAAGATGTGTCATCACTTTTGAAAAGGAGAAAATTATTCTTCCCCTGCTGTCAATTAGCACCTATGCTGTCATGGTTGCTACAACAGAGTACAACAAATAAACTACATGATGAAACTGAGAAAACTAGCACTACTGTGCGGTTTCTGAGTAATTTCGTATCAAACTTTTCTGTCAGGTGTTTCTGTTTACGAAAGTTTTCCTGGACTAATTCTGTCATGATCTCAAACGATCCGAGGCCTTTGCCATCAAACCCCACAGGAACCCTTGTAAGAGGCATGAGCTGTTTGCCAGATTGGAAACTCAAGGGATGAGTCACTTTTGGACATTTAAACTGCTGCCCGTGGAGAAACACCTGCTGGTGAAAAGCATGTGTTGTCAAGTGCAATATGTGACTGTTTAATGGTTTGGAGAGAGGGATGGTTCCATCAGAATTACATGGAGGAAGCTACTGAGGGTGCAGGCAATTATTTTGCCTGGATGCACCAGTCAAAACCAGGGGTAAAAAGAGGACAAGAAAATGCCAGCCAGCATAAATGAAAGTAAAGAAATGGAAGATAAATACCTGTGTGTAATACAGAGTACATATGTTCCTCTGTATAATTTGGTGATGCCAAAAGTTAATAAAGTGTATCCATTCTCACTGACCTTAAACATCCAGGATATAGTGAGCTGTCATAATCCAGATCAACCACCTCTTTATCACCAGGAAATTGTTTGCCAGTGCAGATTGAATGCAGGCCAAAAACGTATCCATCAAATATTAGCATAGCAACTACATAAGGGGTGGGCCGTGGGTGATACCGGTGAGTACTGAACAGAGTTATTTTTGCCGTGAACAGAGTTGTTGTGCATGAACGGTTGAATACACACACTTATGTCAAAATGCCCGTATTTGCAAGTATCCTCGTAAACAGTAATTTATGACTAAGTGAACGTAAATAGTTGAGAAAGAAAATGCATGTGTAACAGTAAATTGGATCCGTGCATTAGCTCTTAAAGTGACAGCAGCCTAATAAACCTCCTGCTGTCTGTCATTAATGTTAATCAAACTACAAAAGAGAGAAAATTTCACTGTTCTTGACTGAATCACTTTTGTAACTTTAATGAAAATATATGTATATTTAATTTACATAGTGATGACTGTTTTTTTTATACAGTTGATTATACCATTTATGTAGTAATTCTTATTTATGGGGCTTGAAGTTTTTCATTTGTGTCTTTGTTCTATTGTAGTTTATTTCATATTACTTGTAATTAGTTTACTTGTTCTTATTTAATCACAGACTCTTTACTTGTCCTCAGTAAGTTAAATTGAGAGTTTTTTTGTAGTTAGGCTAGTATAATTTTTTTGAGATATTGACCTGAATTACGAAATTTCAATTGTATCAAAAATGTCAATATCGTAAAACCTTATTTAAAGCAAAAATAACTATATCCTGATTATCGTGAAAGAAATTACTCCTATCGTGAAATAAGATTTTGGTCATATTGCCCACCCCTAAATACTGGCATAAATTTTCTCCGATTGAGATGATTTCCTATTCTCAGACATGGAAGAACCCTTTCAAGATCCACGTTTGACTAAAAAACGAATGAGCCAATAATAATGCACCGATTATGAAATTTTAATTGTTATTATTGTTATTTAATTTGTTAAATTTTTATGATAACTATAATAATACCCAATGTGTTACAGAAGGTGTCTTAGATAGTCGGCAGTCGCGGAGCACACAAGATTTAAAGAACAAATGTACAATTACAGGGATAATTCACCCAAAAATTCTGTCATCATTTTACTCACCCTCAAGTTGTTCCAAACCTGTATGCATTTCTTTCTTCTGCTGAACACAAAAGAAGATATTTTGAAGAATATGCATAACCAAACAGTTGATGCTACCATCAACTACTGGTTACCAACATTAATTTTTTTGTTCAGCAGAAGAAAGAAATTCATACAGGTTTGGAACAACTTGAGGAGGGTGCGTAAATGATGACAGTTTTCATTACTGGGTGAACGATCCCTTTAAATTAAGATTGTTATGCTGTTGAGTTCGGATTTGTATGGAAGCTTGTTTCCGCCACTGAATAAAAAAAAATAATTGCGACTTTTTATCTCACAATTGCGAGATATGGAGTCATAATTGTGAGAAATAAAGTCGCAATTGCGAGATATAAAGTCGCAATTCTGAGAAATAAAGTCGCAATTGCGAGATATAAAGTCGCAATTCTGTGAAATAAAGTCGCAATTGCGAGATATAAAGTCGCAATTATGAGAAATAAAGTCGCAATTGCAAGATATAAAGTCGCAATTCTGAGAAATAAAGTCGCAATTGCGAGAAAAAAAGACAGAATTGCGACTTTTTATCTCACAATTCTGACTTTTTTTCTCACAATTGCGAGTTTACATCTCGCAATTCTGACTTTATAACATAATTGCGAGTTTATATCTCGAAATTCTGACATCTTTTCTCAGAATTGTGAGATATAAACTCGCAATTGCGAGTTATCAGGCCAATTCTAAGGGGGGAAAAAGACTAACTTTTTTCCCCTCAGAATAGTTTATATCTCACATTTCTGACTTTACAACACGCAATTTCGACTATTTCACGCAATTCTGACTTTATAACATGCAATTGCGACTTTATATCAATCAATTCTGACTTTATATCTCGCAATTCTGACTTTATAACACGCAATTGCGACTTTATTTCACGCAATTCTGACTTTACAACACGCAATTGCGACTTTATATCACGCAATTCTGACTTTATAACCTGCAATTGCGACTTTATATCAATAAATTCTGACTTTATATCACGCAATTCTGACTTTACAACACGCAATTGCGATTTTATATCACGCAATTCTGACTTTATATCTCGCAATTCTGAGAAATAAAGTCAGCATTGCGAGATGTAAACTCGCAATTGTGAGTTAAAAAGTCGCAATTACCTTTTTTATTTTTTATTCTGTGGCGGAAACAAGCTTCCATAGATTTGTGTATATTCTTTTATATATATATAAATTAATGCTTGCTTTTGAGCAAAGCTAGTTAACTGTTGTTGTTTTCCCGCCAATATTATTTATTGTTTGTGTATATCGCACGAGCAAGAGTGTGCTGTGTGACTTTAGGTGTCTATTCAGACCTGGGATTCGGTCGTACACACAATAAGTTAATATTGAGTAACTAACATTAGCTTAGCCTATAGACACAATATTGACTCTTTTTTTTCATATTGTCGCTCCCCCAACGATAATAGCTTCAAGCAGCAGAATCGTAATTCGTTTCTGAACGAATCAGTGTGTTTGAACGAATCAGTTGAGTGAATGATTCAAGGCTGATTCATAAATAAAAAAAGTCACTTGTTTCGCTGCTGAATGATTCAGTGTTTTTAAACGAACCGATTGAATGAATGATTCCCTCATAACACGATCACTTGTCGCCACCTACTGGCTTAACTGTATAACCTGTCGCTGAAAAAATCCCTATCATTAATACACAGACACTGTGTGTGTGTGTGTGTGTGTGTGTGTGTGTGTGTGTGTGTGTGTGTGTGTGTGTGTGTGTGTGTGTGTGTGTGTGTGTGTGTGTGTGTGTGTGTGTGTGTGTGTGTGTGTGTGTGTGTGTGTGTGTGTGTGTGTGTGTGTGTGTGTGTGTGTGTGTGTGTGTGTGTGTGTGTGTGTGTGTGTGTGTGTGAGTGAAAGGCAAGCGGAATGATAGTCCCTGTGCTGTTAATCAATACTATATGTACATTCATTTATACCCATAATTAAATTTTTGAGACCGTGAATCTAAAGCCTGATATATTATTTTGTCAATATTTGACTACAGTGCAAATTGTCTCTCCAGTTACATTGCCTTGTTGTAGAGCATCGTTTCACCTGCTGAAATGATCAGTTAGTTCAACACAGTCCTTTCAGCTTGTGGCGTGAAAATGAATAGCCCGTGGAAATATTCAATAATACACGTCAACAGGACAGATCTCTCAGTAACAGAAGTCAATGGCATAAATACAACCCCATTATGTGTAGACTAGAGATGACGCCAACCCCTGCGAGGACTTCAGATGATGCCAGCTCTGAATCAACATGCACCACTGCCAAATTTTCCATATTGTAATCATAATAATCACAACTTGTAATAGCCTAATTGCTTTAATGAGATCATTCCCCTGCCTAAATTACAGGATAAAGGCATGATTTGTATTATCAACTGTACATTTTTAACTGGCTATGGACATTACTTTGCCACAGTCACCTCTGATAACAGATTACTCTGAATTGAAATGTAGATTCCTGTAAAGCTGCTTTGAAAAGATATGTATTGTGAAAAGCGCTATACAAAATTGAATTAAATTGAATTTACTGGAGGAATAAAGATTTCCCCCACCCTCGCTCTGAAAACAATAATCAAAATGATGCCAAGAAATCAACACAAGCTTATTTTCCCCTTGTTTCATAAATGTGCCAGTAAAAGTAAAAAAAAAAGCATATGTTTTTGCAGCAGAATAAGAAAATACACTTTTGAGCTGTAATTGGGTTTTATGCAAAATACATAGAGGCTGAGTTTAGCATCCATTGAAATGCATAATAATTCTGCTGTTGTTTTTAATCATCCATAAAAATTATATTACATGGAACAGTCATTATAGGGGTGCTTTATATAGGGATGAATGAGCATTTGACGAGAGGTAGCTTTTCCTAGAGTGATGTCTATATCGGCTTTACCCAACCCACTGAGCTTGATCTTTTACTCCTCCATATGTTGCAGTATTTTCAGAGGTACAACCACGGCACAGTCAGCCCACTCTACCACTCCACATCCTGTCAGTATGAATGACAACACCTTCACTTGTCACCCCTGACAGTCCTGCACTAAACACATAGCTTTACGACTACCAACTATTCGCCAAGCTGTCTGTATAGAACATCAATCTTTAATGCATGGCTGTGTGAAGTGGATGTTTCCAGGAGGTCACTTTAGCCTGAAGAGCTCTCCGTTTCATCCTTGTAAAGACATGGAATTCAGAAGAGCGTGTGATGGATGGATTTGAACGATTCACATCAAAGATCATGTTATTACTATTTCAACACTGAAAGAACTACAAAAAGTAAGTCTGATTTTGTGGTTTATGATCTTAAAAAAATTGTATCTTTAAATGGGGCTGCAAAATTGATATGTGTGTGATGTGTATGCAGAAGTCACACAACATTGAACATGAAACATTAAAGATTTCCCTCCACCTTTGACCATCATCACTAAATCACATTTGACACATTAATTGACCGTCTCTGCTCTATTTTTTGACGTGTCATCCAACAACAAAGTTTGTGATGTGATTTATTCCATCAAAACAGTTTTGAGTTTGTTCATCTATTTTTTGTCACTGAATGAAATTGATTTACAACCCCATTTCCAGAAAAGTTGGGACATTTTGTAAAATAGGCCTACAATAAAATCAAGAATCTGATTTGTTCAAAGAAGAGATTTCCAATGTAAATATAAACAAATTTAAATTTTTATGGCTGCAACACCAAAAAAGTTGGGACAGGAAAAATAAAAGTCAAAATATTATAGAATATAGATTATCGAAGTGCATGCACGCGAGCACTCTCTCTCTCTCTCTCTCTCTCTCTCTCTCTCTCTCTCTCTCTCTCTCTCTCTCTCTCTCTCTCTCTCTCTCTCTCTCTCTCTCTCTCTCTCTCTCTCTCTCTCTCTCTCACACACACACACACACAAAATCCATGTGCTTTATCAAATGATACTAGGTTTCATTTGATAATGCTAAAACAATAACTTCTAAAATTCATATGAATTTGAAAATCTTAGGGAGTTTTGTCATTTTTATAGTTTTTTCAGTTTATGCCAAATTATTTTTTTTTATAAAATCTTAGTGTCACATCCAATCCCCCCGAAATGATTTACACTAACTGGTTTGCTGATGTTCACTAGTGACCCATAATGCTTTCCCTCCAGCCACGTCACACAGACTCACACACCGACTAGTAAAGCGAAGCCGAACTACGACGAAATGAGACGAACACAGCCGAAGCTTTTTCAGACGTGAGCAAAACCGTCCGCTATGAGACCTGCAGGAAGAGCTCAGCGACCACGATAGTACATCTGCAAAATCATTCAAAAAGGATTAACGTTATAATGTCTTAATATGTTTTTAAACGGCTCATGTCAGTAGGTATGTAACGTTACAGCTATCAGTGATGATAATGCATGCAATGCCACTCACGCTAGTCTTGCTATGTTAGCAGTGGCATCTACTCCACATCACAGCCTATAGCAGCTAATTGCAATGTGTAACGTTAGTTTTAATGGTTCGCTTTTAATTAAAGTCTAATAAACCCGTATAATTAGATGTGTGATTTTGGTGAGTGCATAGAACCATCAGACGATGTTCTGTGATAACAAGCTGTCAGCAAACGTGCTAATGTTATTATTAGCCTAGCACAACGTTACATAGAGTTGAATATTAAATAAATACGTGAGTCTAGCTGTTTATGTTCATTTATATCTTAATTTATTATCTACTTTGTATATTACATTCTGTTTTGTCAGCAGAAAACACGGGAGTGGGGAAAATGGAGTATTGTTTGCATTATTTGCTCTGCATGATTCATTTTGTCCTGTTCTTCCAGGTGTCCAGTGAGCTGCCTGTAAGATGTCTATGGTCCTGTTTGCCTCTGTGGTGAGAGTGAGGGATGGTCTACCTCTCTCGGCCTCCACTGACTATGAACAGGATAAAGGGCTTCAGGAGACCAAGAAACATCTCAAGAGTCTGTCCAAAAAACTCAGCCAGTTTCCTGATCGCTGCTCACTTAGATCTGGCATATACAACATCAAGTGAGTTATCAATGCAGTTTGCTTGAGGGTGTGTGTGAATGTTGTTACACCATTTTAACACTGTCTTCAGTGTGAAAACAAACTGGTGTTTGCAGTGCACTACACTGGAAATGCATTTATAAATGCATTTTTGACAAGGTTTGCTGTCCGCAAGTTCCATGCAAAGGAATTTTTATTTGAAACGCATAATTACTGAGCTAATACAACCCCCACCCCGGCCTCCTCCCCCACATTATTAACTTATTTGAATGAAATCTCAGTTGCTTTAATGGGCTGCGCGCTACTGCCTAAGTAATACCGCTACGCGAGCTTCCAGTATAGTATTCTGCCATAACAAACTGGTATTATTTACTATTAACATAACACTTAAGTATATTATATTAAAACATCACGTTTTAGTAATGAGTTCCATAATGTTGTTACTGTTGCTTATTAAAGCTCTGGGTTGTGCCTAACAACGCCCCTTAGCTGTTCTAAATTCCCTGTAAATCACGGCTTTTTTATTGCTTTTATAAAAGTTTTTTCCACATACCTGGCAAGGTTTCCTTAAATAATCACACAGACACTAAAATGATAAAAATATTCTTCTTCCGACAAGCAATGTAGTTCTTCAGAAGCGGGAATGGTTGAAAAGCAACACACAGACGCAGTGGCGCAGTAATACTGATGTAATGCGGTCACAGGTGTATGTTTGTAGGTTAATTTACAACGACTTACAAACGACAATAAACGCGGCTCAACCAATCTGAATCAAGGACCGGAACTATCCGTTTTATAAGATCAATTTAATGCATCTTTGCTGAACTATTGAACATATATATTAGATTTTATTTTTATTGAAGTTTCATTTACTTACTTTTTAATATCTTTAAATACCTTTAGCGTAAAGGGGGATCGTATTTCTTTGTCCTATTGTGTGACAGTTCCTCAATATTTAATTTTGTGCTTAGTTTTCTCACAATTCCCATACACTGCACTATACAGGAAGTTGTGGTGGCCACTGAGGCTAAATGCAGAAACGATTGTACATGCATCCATTACAATTCATTTTGGTGTGAAAACATTTTGATACATTTGTGGCTAAAGGAACAGTTCACCCAAAACTAAACATTCTATCATTATTTACTCACCCTCACGCTATTCTTTTCCATACAATGAAAGCATATAGAGTGACATGGGCTGAACAGCTCCAAAAAATAACATAAAAGCACAGTAAACATGGTCCACTCATGCATCCATTTTGGAGCTTGACAGGTTGTGGTCACTGCATGTTAGCTAATAGCTATATGCATGCACTAATGGTAGCCATGCCATTCTTCAGAATATCTCATTTTGTGTTTTGTGGAAGAACTCATGCACATTTGGTAGAGCTGCATGATTAATCGTTAAAAGAATGCGATCTGAATTCAAACCAGACAAAATCACACCAGAACATTCAGATCTGCGTTGGCGGCCACTGACCCAGAGAGAGCAGTGTCATGTGTATAGGTACACTGTAAAAAATGATCGTGATTTTAACGGTAAAACACTGTAAAAATGCTACAGTGAAAAACTGTTAATTGGTTAACAGAAAGTTTCCTTATTATATACGGTAAATAACTGTGATATATATAACGGTACATTTAATTTAATTTTACTGTAAAATACCGTTAAATTTACAGTTTTTGGAAGTGAAAAAGAACAAGTCATTGTATAATTTACAGTGAAAAAATGTAAATTGACATTCCCACAATTCCCTGCATGACACTTCACATTTGATGTATTTTGTTTTTAAATCACTGTTTCTTCATAATTTTCTTAGTTTTTTTCTAATCAGTTATGTACATTAGGGTTTTATGTTACATTTAATGTTGTTAAATTAATGCTTATTGCATTTTTTAAATTTCAACATGTTACCATGATGGTGTTTAATGTTTGTGTGAATGACACTGTGCAGCTTCTGTATATTAGTATTAACTCTCTTGTGGATGAGCTGCTTATGTTGAGCTTTGGTTGACCATTTGACTCTCATCACTGCTGTGATTGTTGGCTGTCAGTGTATTACAATGGAAAAAAGCAGATATTAATACTTCAAAAGGTCAGTATATTAACATTATATCAGATAATGAAATACGGATTATCGCTGTAAAATTATATACGGTTAAAAGTTGTAAAACCTAAAACGTTGCTACCGTATTTTTAACAGGAAAACTCTGGTAACCACAGCTGCCAGGGTTTTCCTGTAAATTTAACGGGTTTTTTTTACAGTGTATTAAACAGCTTCACAGTCTTTTTTCAACCACATGGTATTATTATTTCTGTTACAAATATAATTTTTTTTATATCAGATTTAAAAAAAGACCAGTGATGTCTACGGTAGCGAACAAAATGGAAGAAATCACCTTTTGAAAGTAACGTGATGCTAGGTGGTGACAAGTTACTGTTAAAAAAAATGTATTTGTCATTGAATCATTCATTCAAGAGATTTGTTCAAAAACGCCGTTTCATCCAGTAATAAAACAAGTGAAGTCATTGAATCATTCATTCAAACAGATTAAAATAAATAAATAATTAATTTAACACTTTTAAAGACTGCTGCAATTACCATTTTGTCAGAACCTCTTAAATTAAATTACATTATTTTGTTTAGTTGTCTGTTCAGAATCCTGAAAGAAACATGATCTCAATTTGAAACAAAATTGTGCAACTCTAACATTTAGAATCCCCTCAGTGACTAAATGATGACAGATTTTTCATTTTTGGGTGACCATCCCTTTAATTAAAACATCCCAGCAAAAACAAATGACACAGTGAGGGTGGAGTGCTCTGATTGCCAATTGTTCTGATGCCAAAAACGTCCCCTTCAGCAAGGTCTAATTCAGATGCGTTGCACTGAGAGACCCAGGGGTGACCATTTCATAGCCTGGCTGCCATTCATCACTCCAAACTTCACAAGCAGGCAGAAACGAGTCATCTCTTTCTCTCTCTCTGGAGTGCCTCAATGGATCGTTTCATCTCTCAAACAGACGTTAACATGGAGAGACACGTTGACAAAGTTTCTTCTTTCCTGAGGCGAGTTACTTAACTGTTCAGATCCAGAGCAGGTGTAAAACAGAGGATGAAGGGTAATTTTTAGACGCTTTGGATTCTCATGTCCTTGGAATGGACTTTCAAGTCCATTGAATGACCTTCCCCTATCTGTGACAGATGTCATGTTTTCACACGTTGCTACCCAACACTGTCAATGTATGTCAACATAATTTGTCCTTAACTCAATTGAAATTAAATGGACTCTAAAAGTGTGATGCAAACTATGACTTCTCTTGCCTTCCATAGTTTTACAAGCTCTCTCGGAGTTGGGTATATGATGGTTTGCACAGAAAACTATCCCAATGTCCTGGCCTTCAGCTTCCTGGACGAGCTTCAGAGAGAGTTCATTGTCACGTATGACACCAAGCGGATCAACAGCGCTTTGAGGCCTTTCTCTTTTATTGAGTTTGGTGAGTTTCTAGAGAGGATTGGGACAGGTTTCAGAAATCTGTTTTTCCAGAAGGGGACTAATTTTTTATATAAAAATAACATTGGGGTCAGTAAGATTTTTAAATGATTTTGAACAGTCTCTTATGCTCACCAAGGCTGGATTTATTTGATTAAAAATACAGTAGAAAATATATATTATAATGTATATTATGAAATATTATAATTGTTAAAAAAAAGAAAAGATTTCTGTTAATATTATTTTAATTTAATATTTTCCTATGATGGCAAAGCTGAATTTTCAGCAGCCATTACTCCAGTCTTCAGTGTCACATGATCCTTCAGAATTCATTCTAATATGTTGATTTGCTGCTCAAGAAGCATTTCTTATTATTATCACAGTTTAAAACAGTTGCTTAATATTTTTGTGGAAACCACAATATATTATTTTCAGGATTCTTTCATTATAAGAACAACATTTAATTAAAATACAAATCATTTAGCACTTTTGATCAATTGAATGCATCCTTACTGAATAAAAGTATCAATTTCTTTAAAAAAAAAAGGTAATATACATTAGTTTTTATTTGTTTTTAAAATATAAATTCTCAAAATTGTATCATGTGTATCTTCAACTACATGATGTCTTATGAACAACCCTCAAGTCAGTAATGATTCTGTTTTAAGTTTCCTGAACCTTAAGTACACAAAAGCTACTTTATTTTGAAATGGATATCACTTAAAGTAATAATAACTTGTAGTCGAGTGAGTGAGTCAGATGTTGATTCAGTAACCATTTTGAACTGTTTTCTCCAAAAGCATTGTAAGCTAAGTAGATCGTTGAAACCCTTGGCAGCATTGGTTTCTATGACCTGTTTAGGCTAACGATGCTTTTGGGAAACGCAGCCCTGATGGATTTATCAGGCTGTTTTTTTGTAAGAATTAAAAGAATCTGTTTAGTATGGAAGCTTGTTTCCGCCACAGAATGAAAAATAAAAAAGGTAATTGCGACTTTTTATCTCACAATTCTGACTTTTTTTCTCACAATTGCGAGTTTACATCTCGCAATTCTGACTTTATTTCTCAGAATTGTGAGATATAAAGTCAGAATTGCGAGATATAAAATCGCAATTGAGTGTTATAAAGTCAGAATTGCGAGATATAAAGTCAGAATTTATTGATATAAAGTCGCAATTGCAGGTCATAAAGTCAGAATTGCGTGATATAAAGTCGCAATTGCGTGTTGTAAAGTCAGAATTGCGTGAAATAAAGTCGCAATTGAGTGTTATAAAGTCAGAATTGCGAGATATAAAGTCAGAATTGATTTATATAAAGTCGCAATTGTGTGTTATAAAGTCAGAATTGCGTGATATAAAGTCGAAATTGCGTGTTGTAAAGTCAGAATTGTGAGATATAAACTATTCTAAGGGGGAAAAAGTCAGTCTTTTTTCCCCCTTGGAATTGGCCTGATAACTCGCAATTGCGAGTTTATATCTCACAATTCTGAGAAAAGATGTCAGAATTTCGAGATATAAACTCGCAATTATGTTTTAAAGTCAGAATTGGAGATGAAAAAGACGCAATTCTGTCTTTTTTTCTCGTAATTGCGACTTTACTTCTCAGAATTGCGACTTTATATCTCGCAATTGGGACTTTATTTCTCAGAATTGCGACTTTATATCTCGCAATTGCGACTTTATTTCTCACAATTCTGACTTCATATCTCGCAATTGTGAGATAAAAAGTCGCAATTATTTTTTAATTTTTTTTATTCAGTGGCGGAAACAAGCTTCCATAGTTTAGTGCCTATAAGAGTCAGGAGAACTCAATAGAAATACTTTTTTTCTTGCCATTATTTTGTTTTTATTCAACACTGAAAAGTATGTGTAGTAAATAGTTCCACTTAAATTAGTTCTACATGGGCAGTTTCCCAAGCTTTAGCATTAGTTGAGTCTCTGAAGAGCATTATGCACATGGTGAGTTTGAGTAAACATTAATGGAGTTGCATCTTATGTGGAACATTTAAATGTAGTCACTTATGAGGCTCCATTTTGGCTAGGAGTCTTTGGATTTATCTATATAAATATAAAAGCATCCTGCAGACTTTCCATTTAATGTGATTTGAAATGAACTGAAGCCATTTGTAACATATAGACCATGTTGTGATTAAAGCATCTATTTAGTATTTACTCTGCCGTTTCTATGATTTCGACAGATAACTTCATTCGGAAAACCAAGCAACGTTACAATAGCCCACGTTCCCTCTCCACCAAGATTAATCTAGCCGACATGCAGACTGAGATCAAGCTCCGGCCTCCTTATCAGCTCTCCGCGGAGGACATTGGATCAATCAACGGCTTCTCAGAACACAAGCAGTCTAAATATAAAGGCATTGGTAGGGAACACACTGTGAACACAACTTGTAAACTTCCCTTTGTTCTCAAGAAGTAGAACATTTTGAAAGACCACTCAGAACAGCCTAGCATCATGGCAGAAAGTTTTGCACCGCAGGTTTCCTGAAGCAAATTTTAAAATCTAGTTACTTTGCTACTGTTTGACACAGATTTTCTGCTTGATTTCTTTCTGCAGCTCCTAATCAAATGTTGGAGGCCGTCACCCTGTCGGGTATCGTCGCCTGCATCCTAAGTGTCCTGTGCGGCGCTCTTAATTTGCTGCGGGGAGTCCACGCAATAGAAAGCGTATTGCAGGTAAGTTAAATCGTGCACTAATATGCTGGCACTTTATTTTGGGCTTTGTTTCTTTTTATTGATTACAACATTGGACTAAACATTACTTGTAAATGTATAAGTGCCATTGTAATATAATTAATCATACCTAATGGATAGTAACAGCACTCTTGAATAATTTGTCAGACTTCGCACTTAGATGTAATGTGATTTTCCTCTACCATAAACAGAATAGTTTTGCTTCGCTTTTTATATTGCACTGATAAGTGAGCCCTCGCGTCCTGACTGTCCCTTTCTAATTCATCCTGTTTTAGCACATGGCTTCCTGTTGTAATTTGTCCACTCTTTAACACAGCACACTGTCTTTTCTCTTTTTCTGCTCCATCTGCAGAACGAGGATGAAGACTTTAATTACGTAATTGCTTTTTTCCTTGGAACCGCGGCCTGTGTGTATCAGGTAAGTGACGGCAGTCAGACCGTGAATTACTGTTGGCCTGCCAGGCTTCATTTCTTCTGCTCTCTGTCTTGGTCTGACCAACCAATGCTAATATATCACACTTTTCCTCACTGTCGTGTAAAAGGAAAATTGTGTTATCTGGAAAATTGGAGAAACATTGCCTTTTTACTAGCTTCAAAAAACAGCAGCTGGCATTGTAGAGGCTTTTTATTAGTACCGGTAGTAGTTTTTCAAAACCCTCACTCATATTCTGCACAGCAAAAAAAAAAAAAAAAAAAAAATCTAAAATCTGTATTTTTGCTTGTTTCCCTTTAAAAATATTTAAACATCCCTAAACCAAAATACATTTTTAGTTGAGAAGCAAAACTGAGATTACGATATTAAGACTTGTTTTCAGAAAAGACTCTACCCTTTTTTTAATACTTTTTTTAAATACCTTTTTTTAAAGAGATACATCCTGAAAAAATGTATCACTGTTTCCACAAAAAACTGTTTTCAACATTGACAATAATAAGAAATGTTTTTTGAGCACCAAATCAGCATATTAGAATGATTTCTGAAGTATCATGTGACTGAAGACTGGAGTAATGATGCTGAATATCCAGCTTTGCATCACAGGAAAAAATAAAACTTTGAAAATATTAAAAAAAGCAAACAGCAAATTTTAAATCGTAATAATATTTCGAATTATTTTTGATCAAATAAATGCAGCCTTGATGAGCATAAGAGACTTCTTTCAAAATCACAAAAAATCGTACCGACCCCATAGTTTTGAATAGTAGGGCCTAAACCTCACTACATTCTCTTATATTTCTTCTTAAAACAAAGCTTGTCCTGAATTTGCTTAATGCATTCCTCTTGTTTCTTTTTCTATACGTAGTGTTATTTGTTCGTCTACTTCTCAGTTTGGAGGAACATCAAGTCATTCCTGGCCTTTGCTATGATCTGCCTATGCAACATGTATCTGTATGAACTCCGTAACATGTGGCAGATCCTCTTTCACGTGACGGTGGGTGCGTTCATCACTCTGCAGATCCACCTGAGAGGACCGCAGGGCAAAGCACCAGACTACAACGTTTGACCCCCTTGAACTCTTTTAAGACTGCATAACAGCCCAGCACTTCAACCCATTCTGAGGATAAAAGAACTATGGATTGTGAAGCAGGTTTTACATATTGTTTTGATATTGCTCAAGAAACACTTCCTGCTGTTTCACATCCAGTTGAGATCAAAGATGGAAAACTGCTGTTTTGGTTGAAGCAAAAGGTTCATAACGGTGACTTCATACGTGGACAATATTGGACTCATGCATGAAATATTAAAGCAAATTAGTAGCAGGTAATTCAGATGTGCACAATTAATATATTTTCCAATAGGGAGGCATTGTGGTTATTTATAGTTTTAATTGACGTCAGGGCTTAAAGAGACAGCTCACCCAAAAATGAAAATTCTGTTGTCATTTCTTGAAGAACGTGGCTTTCCTCCATACAATGAACGTGGATGGCCACCGTGGTCTGTCAAAGATAAAATAAAATAAAAGCATCAAACTAATATAAAATAAAACCTTAAACTACTTAAATATATGCAGATTTTGTAATAAGCGTAAAATACGTTGTTTCTATATGCACAATCAAAATCTTTAAATCTATTGTTTTATATTTTTAATATGATTGTCATTTGCTATGTAGTTCCTTCCCTCATTAAAGCCGTTACATACACTGTCTTATAATTCTTTTTGTCCAATTTTCAAATAGGTTTTTTTTTTTTATTCTTCGCATTAAAGTTTGTAATGTTGTGATTCACCTTGTAGCTGGTTAGTTTGGTTCATGGTAACTCTTTAATGAAGGCTATGTGAAACATATTTCCAGAACCAAGGGCACTGAAAAAGTGTGTGGGTACTGTTGCACTCTAGCTTTGTGTGAGAAACAGACCAAAATGTAAGTTATTATTCAATAAAAATATTGCTTGACAATTGTGGTATTATTCACAGTTTATTGTATGGTAAAAAGCTGCTTAGACATTTCAGTTAAACATCTCCTTTTATTGTTCCACCCGAATAAGGAAATTATTATGAATTTTCATTTTCGGTGAACTATACCTTTAAGTCGTCATTTTAGAATTCTTTAAGACAATTGTTTCTCTATTTTGATTGTTAAAGCCAACTCGTATGCAAGACTTTTTATAGCTGTCTATATATATAAAATGTAATTTTCACTCATTTCCACACGCATTTTTATTTTGTCATACAGCTTAATTTGAGTGTCACTGTGTTTGTGGTCATTAGTCAGACGTCTCTGCCCTGAAAGCATAATCAGATGTGTTATTTATCAATCATGTCTATGCTGCCTGCAGGTGTGCTTCCTGCAAATGAATGTGTTTGGCTAAGAGGGAAATGGAATCGCACTAATATACAGACTCCACTGTTTTCCCTGTTTGCTGCCTTTTGTCAACGGGTCTGTTCAGTGACCATGTTGAGTGGAGTAATGTTTTATTCTGTTTCTATTCACCTGGCTTGTTTTGGATCCTGTTTTCATTGTGCAAATGACAGGTTGTATGGATGAGTGACAGATTTAGGGTCAAGGGGTTTCAAAATTCCTTAGATGTACATGCATTTTCCCACAAGTGTCAGTGATCTAAGATTGCAACTGCGTCTTTGCATTGCAAATGCAGCACGGCAAGTACCTGAATGCTCTCTCTCCAACAGTAGTGCATTGCCCTTTGGCCTAATGTGTGTTTGTGCCATGTCCTGAAACCATCAGTAAAAACCTTGAATTTGTATGAATTTGCTTGTATCTTGTGTGTTTTTGTTAAATGCATTTGACACATTTATGAAAATCAAAGGGATAGTTCACTCAAAAATTAAATTTGTTGTCATCATATACTCACCCTCATGTTGTTCCAAATCTTTGAGTTTCTTTCTTCTGTTGAACGAAAAAAGAAGATATTTTAAAGAATGTTGGTAACCGGACAGTTGACGGTAGCCATTGACTTCCATAGTATTATTTGTTTTCCCACTATGGAAGTCAATGGGTGTAGTCAACTGTTTTTAGTCACCAACATTCTTTAAAATATCTTCTTTTGTGTTCAACCGTAGATAGAAACTTATACAGCTTTGAAACAAGGCCACAGAAAAAGTTTGTGTGCATTGTTGCCTATAAATCTTTTTGTTCACTATAAATCTTGCTTGATGGCCGTGGTAATTAATCACATTTTATTGTATGATAAAATGCTGCTTAGACGTGATTTAGCTAAAAACGTTCTCTTTTCACGGGTGAAAATGCTTGGAATATGTATTTCTGAGTCAGTGATGTCAAGTGTGGGAAGAAGCTTTTGCAATTTATAAACTTATTGCTATTCTCAAAATCTAAGAGCTGCAATGATGAAGATGATGATGGTTATTAGAACAATTCACTTGGCTTAGAAGCGTGACTAATGAAAGTAATGTTCTAGGTGATGCAGTGGATGCTTTTGTGTATGTGAAAATTGCAGCCCATTTAGGCTTGTTTGTACTTAGTGAGGGGGAAAGTCTGTACATTTGTGACGTCTCTGTAATTGATGTTATTTTTTTCTCCAGCTTATGTTCACTGCTGATCTAATTTTATAGTTGCACAATAGCTACTTTGCCTACAATTTTTGGGAAATATTTTATTTAGTCAAGTTTAACATATAGGCCTACACATTTGAACAAATATGTATGGATGAAAAAAAGTGACAAATTAAAAAACTGCTACAACAACAACAACAACAATCACCTTAATTTTCTTCCTTGCGGTTCAAGGCTTTCGTAACGGCATCGTCAGGGTGAGAAATGGTTTGAGTTTTTGTTTCTTTGATTTTTATGACATTGTGCTTCGCCTCAGGTCTTTCTAACCTTTTGACTGCTGGATCAAACCCAAACCAATTGGCCATTAGACTGTTTTTAATGTCAATGAAATGCCAGTCCCACGCCCAGCACAATGGCCTTTCTTTAATGCTTCATAAAACAGCTTTGCTCAGTCAAACTGACCACATCGGACACATGCAGACTAAATTCAAGTGAACTCAAACGGGGGTATTTCACAGGCACATTATTAAGATAAGAAAGGTCAGGTATGCCAGTGGGGAAAATGTACTGAAATTATGTGAATTATAACATGCTTGGGTGGGTGACCAAACAACCGCTCTGTGGGGTTTCTGTTCTTTGTTCTCGTATTTCTGGACACATTTTGTTTATGAATACTCTGAAAACAGCTCTATATTTGAGGTTCAAAAACAAAAATAAGGAAAAAACAAAGGTGCATATTGTTATAAAACTAACAATGTGGTTAAAGCACTGTACTAGCCAGTAGGCCTACAATGAGAGCTGCACACGTTTTCATACAGAAACATTGGCATGTTGACATCGAAGGCAAGTAAAGTCTACTAGATCTATGGGCATTGAAAGCGCACTGCTGCCACCCTCTGGGCATTTAATGTGAAATCCCAAATGTTTTTTTTTTATCCAAAACAAAATCCATTTTATTTTTTAGGTAAATTAAGCGCGGTCGCGGCCATTTGAAGTCTGGCTTCCGGTCCCTTCCTGTTATTTTTAGCTGTACAAAACAGCTCGTTATGCTATTTCTTACCATATTATTTTAATGTATTGCCTTAAATATAAAAACGCTTGTTTGCAGCGCAAACAAAATACCGTTTGGCCTACTGCACTCAACGTTAGATGTATTCAGTCTTCTAGTGGCTAATAAATCGGAAGTCTCGCAGACTCGCACATTCACCAAAAAACACTTTACTTCAGCGTCACAAATTATGTTGGCACGAGGGAGAAAATTAATTATGTTAAAGTTAGGTAGGCCTATGGTGCCACTTTACCTTTAGCATAACAACCGTCTTGCTGACGTCTGAAATTAGATGTCAAAAGAAAGGGCCAAACACAATTTAGTATGCAAATAAATATTATAATAACGAGGAAACAAATCGTCGGTTTAAATTTCAATGTTTAAGGTTTTTAAAAAAGTCAATGTCACCTTCCATTTACTTACTTCTCTATTATAGGAGTCTGTCTTTTGAGCTTGAGTGGACAAAAAAAAAATCCACAGAGAAAATAAAAATAAATAATAGACACTACGAATCACACAAGGACCTACTTTCAATAGAGTGCTGCTTTGCAAACATAATTGTAATAATCATAACTACATGGTTTCAGAATGAGTTTAATGTTATAATAGTTTAATTGGATGTAAAAAACAAAACAAAACCAAAAATACAGCATTGAGCAATACAAGGCATATAAGCAACCCAAGATGAAGCACCACTGGAATAGTAAATGCCAGTACTCAGCAGGACAGAAATGTGGTATTTACTTGACATCTCTTATCTCAGTGCTTTCATTTGGATGGCAAACACAAGTGAATTAAAGCTGAAGTTTGTAATTTTTTTATGTTAAAATATTCACTCCTCCCAATATGCAGAGATAATACCTACAAGCAAGCCATTCAGAAGTTAAATTCTGTGATAAGATTAAAACTCTTCTGTTGCTTTGTCAAAACGCTGTGAGAATCCAGACACAGCTCAACCAATGGCGTGAGTTTACGGGCGGGACTAACTTATTGTTTAACCAATGGCAGATAGGGGGCGTGTCCAATCCAGTTTGGTGCCGCTAACTGTGGAAAAATTACACACTTCACCTTTAACTTAGGAATTCATATGGCACCCGCACCGTCATTTAAACGCCATACTATACATGTATCACGATGACATTAAATACAAAAACATTCAACCATTTATTTTATTTTAAATTTGCTGGCAAGAAAGTGGCACTGATTTTCTTGTGGGAAATAAAGACTCTGGAAAGGTGACTCTGGAAGCCCAGCTGAGTCCAAGTTGTGAGAAACTAGAACAGGACCAAATATAGTTACGGTTTCATAACACTTTCAAGGAAATGCAGATTTTTCCCAACACATTATCATAATCCTTTGTATGGACTTAAGATCTTACACAGGTAAAGCAAAAAAAAAAAAAAAAAAAAAAAAAATTTATGGACTACCCTATATGTTTGTGTACAAACTCAAATTCTTCACATACAAAGGCCTCATTGGAGAAAATGGACATTCATTGGGTCGTACCATCACACTGAGAGGAAAGGGAATGCTGGTCGAGCTGCAGTGCATAAATGGTGAATATTTGGTGGCATAACGGAAACATCCCTAAAGGATCCAAACTCGTTGTCCCACGCACCATAAACGCAAGGCTAAAATCAATATTTGCAGATGTGTTTGCCAAGCTTTAAACGACTGTGGCTGTTCTGAAACACTCACTTGTCATTTTGTGTCCTACAAATCCATTTTCTACTCATAATTACATTGTAGTGCACTTGACAGGATACAGAAACCCTTTTTGGAGAAAGGCCAAACCTATTCTCCTTACTTGGTTACAAGGCTAGCTACTGATTTTATTTAAATGGATGCAGCGACAAAAAAGGGTGACTGATAATTTGCAAATTACCTCTCCCTCCTGTTCAAATGTGCAGGACTGTAGAGTTCCATTATATATATATAAATATCTAAATACACATTGGTGTTTATAGACATTATTTAAATATATTAATGTACAAAATATATCATCTAAAATAGCTCTGACAGTTTGACTTTTAGTCTCAAAATATAAAATGTTAAAAATACAAAAACAGCCACATTTGGCCATTTTCCTCTGTCTTTAATGGTGTCTTCAGTGTAGACAAGTGTGTGTGTGTGCAGTTTTGCGAATGTAAGTTTGTTTGGAACACAAAGTTGAAGTCTCAAGCCACGTTCATGCCACCAGAAACTTTCTCGTTCCATAATTACACATTGGTTCTTTTTTGTTCCATCTCATCCCTTGTTGACATCAAATCAGTTTATGCTGCTAAAATGAACATTCTGGAGGGAAAAACGTTGTATATAAGTCCTAAGTATGCATCATATTAAAGATGAACGAGAATCAGTGTGTGCTCTTTAGCATTGTGGACTGCCATTTATCTGTACCGAAAAGCTCAAACGCTAGGCTATTTGGGCTCACACACACTTCATTTTCATCTAATACGCATCAGTATTTAATACTGTCCCTGCGCATGGTATAAGAGACACATAAAATTGCGGACTACAAGGACAAACTTTAGTCGAGCTGATTCCCAACTACAGTTGCTAAATGAAGACGTTGCATCGTTGGACCTGGCCACAACCCGGCACTGAAAATGAATGACTTTGGGTCGTTTCAAGTTGCGGGCGGCGTGAACGGGGCTTCATTCTCAACTCTCAGAGGTAACACTGTCAACACTAGCTCCCTTACCAGTAACAACCACAGTCGCTGCAGCAAAGTTCGGGGAACCACAAATGGTTTGTAAAGCTGCTGTGCTCACTATGGCCCTCTACCATATATAAGCTCATTGTGATATCTCTATCTATTGCGATATCGCCACGCAACAGGACCGTATGAACAGAACTCTTTAGTCTTTACATACACTGAAGCCAATATACCTGTAAAACACATGTTTTATGTGTATATGATTCATCAGTGTTTTCATGCAGTTTTGATTTGGAGCCGCCAGGACCAGTTGGTGGAGTAAGATCGCAGTCCCGCCACACCTGAGAGAGCCAAAGCCAGGTGCATCTGTCCTCTCTTAGCAATATAAGAATTATAGAAGACAGGGAGAACTGCTTTTTATGCCTTGAGATTCCTTTGTTTCTTTGGTCTCTGAGGTTGAACGTCTTTCTGAGCTGTTCCATACCTTAAATAAAGGGGGCAAAGCCCTCCGTTAATCCTATAGGAAGTCTCAGTGTGCAAAGAGGCCACTCTTAGACTGGCTTTCCAAACACATCCTATTGTGATTGGTCCAGGAGGATGCCCGTCAACAGCCTGGCTGGCCCGGACCAAAGCGTCTCCTCACCATATCATCTCAAAAGTGTTCTGAATGTCAGATGCTGTGTGTTAACTGCTGTTGGGTCCTCCGTTTAGGAAGTAGGTCGCCATTTCTCCTTTGCCCTTCACCTTCACAACGCCTCTGTACTCCAGTGTGTAGTTATATGAGCTGAGAACCTGGTAGAGGTCAGTTGTGACCTGATACAGAGAGAAATGAAGAGCACATAAGCATTTATGATGGACTGAAAAGTTTGTAAAGCAGAGTTGACAGATTTACAGATCCAAACATTTGAGAGCACTAGTGAAAATGCTTCTGTTTTGCAATTTTAATCATTAATAATTAAACAAATCATTTAATACGATCAAAAATACATTCTTTACCAATTATATTTATATATTCATTTCAAATTATATTATTCCTAAAAAAATTAAGTGAATATTGAAATAATATATATTTTTTTTAAACAGCAGCACTCAACATGAAATATTTGTTATTCGGTTCACATCATGTTTCTTTGTTTAAAGTCACCATGAAATCCAAATTGACAATTCTTATTTTTTATGGAATATTGCAGTCTTTTTTTATAAATGATTTATCCGTGTACATCATTATTTAAAAAGAATTAATGTGCCCTTGTAATCTTTAATCAAAATAACTTCCCCTCCTCCTTGCAGTATCATCTCTTCTCTGATGATGTACTTACTGGCAAGAGGGCGGGACAACCTGTCACTCACATGAGATCGACCAATAGCAAACAACATTGATCCAATGACCCAATCAATTCCTGATAGACAAAATCAAGCCCCGGCCTACATGTATATCTATGTGAAATGGCTTCTTGAACAAGAAAACGTCACAAAAAAGAAAAAGAAGAAAAGACTATTGCAACTTCCGACTTTAAACTTGGAAATATATCAAATTTTAGGATGCAGAAAATGTTTAATTTAGATTCTGAATCGCACATTTTCAATACGGACACTATAGTAGTATACATAGGATATCTTAGGGGTAATTTGATCTGGACAATCACAGAGACCAAGGATACATCTCACCTGTATTCTCTCAGGTACCCCAGTGCTGTCCATTCGGCTGGCTACATTCACAGTATTCCCCCATATGTCATATTGCGGTTTACGAGCCCCTATGACACCAGCCACGACGGGACCCATGTTAAGACCTACAGGAAAAGATGCTTTTTTAATTTTACAACAGTAAAATACATGGGTCATTCTATGAAAGTCTTTGACTAACAGACTATATAAATACTACATGAAAGGGACTGTTTCATAAAATGACACAAATTAAACATACACATTAGGAAGCTGATTGATAAAATGTATTGGTTATTTAAAGGAATAGTTCACTTCAAAATGAAAATTCTGTCATTTACTCACCCTCAAATTGTTTCAAACCTGTATGAATTTCTTTCTTCTGCTGAACACAAAAAAAGATATTTTGAAGAATGTCTGTAACCAGATGAACCCCACTGACTTCCATAGTAGGAAATAAAATACCATGGAAGTCAGTGGGGTTCATCAACTGTCTGCTTACCGACATTCTTCAAAATATCTTCCTTTGTGTTCAGCAGAAGAAAGAAATTCATACAGGTTTGAAACAACTTGCGGGTGAGTAAATGATGACAGAATTTTCATTTTAAAATGTGAGTTAATCCTTTAAGGGTGGCCAAGCCAGATCCTTACCGATCTTCATTTTGAAGTTATTAAAAGAGTGCTCATTTATGTACTTCATCTGGTCCATGAGGCGCATAGCGTAGTCGGCTAGAGCGCGAATGTGCGACCTTCCTGCTTTATCATAAGTGGAGTCATTAAGCCCAGACGCAGCCATGTAGGTGCTGCCAATGGTTTTGATCTTTTCTAGTTGACGAAACTGATCCTCACTAATGATCTGCAAGAAAAGAGAAATAAGATGATGACTTCCATGTTGGAATGAGAAGGCATATTAAACGTCTACATTTCTAAGAATGCACACAGTTTAGGAAGATTTGAAGATGCAGGTCCAGTTTCACACACACAATTCTAATTTGAAACGAAGACCAACTGTTGCAAAGTAAATGAAAATGTTTAATGCAAGAACTAAAAACACAGTAAAATCCTAGTTAAAATAAATCAAGGGTTATTTCTACTTTTTATGTTTTCACTTTATTCTTCTGTAAAAATATTTCATCTTATTAATAAGTGTGCGCACACACACACACACACACACACATTTCATTTGTGATTACTTTATGTTTTTATTAATTTTTTTCAAGGGAATTAGGCTTTTCAAAACCAACTGCAGCTTTTCCAAATAAGGTTTAGAATAAGAAATACTTGAAAGTTAGTCAAATGTACAGTATCACGCTCTAAAGTAGTGTAAAATCATCTTGAAAGTCCTGAGGTGGGTCAAAAATAGCTGTACCTCATCAAAGTCAGCGATGATCTCGTTGAGCAGTCTCAAGCACTCAACACCTTCATTATTGGCCTCCAGTTCCACATAGAACTCAGAGAAGTTGCTGATGGAGGCAAACATGACAGCCACACATTCGCACGACTGATAATACAGCTCGTCGTTCCGCCGCTCGCGTGCCAGAAAGTGTGCAGCCACATCTTTGGGCAAGATGTTGTGGAGAAGCCGACGGTTGTAGGCCTGAAGTTCTTCCATCTCCTCTTTCTCCTCTGTAGCCTGTGAATACAATACAAATAGAGGATGATGCTATGAATAAGGACAAATAACTAAATAAACACTGCATTCTTGTTGCTCCAAAGTGACTGCAATAACTTGGCGAATCTATGCTGAATTCACATCATCAGACTCTATTTGTATCTATGATAACACTCAAAGGCAAAATAGGTTTTTGAAAGAAGACTCTTATGCTCACCCAGGCTGCATTTATTGAATAATTGAAGTAAAAACAGTAATATTGTGAAATTTTATTGCAATTCAAAATGACTGTTTTCTATTTGAATATATTTATAATAAAAGGTAATTTACTCCTGTGATGCAAAGCTGGATTTTTAGCATCATTACTCCAGTCTTCAGTGTCACATGATCCTTCAGAAATCATTCTAATATGCTGATTTGCTGCTCAAGAAGCATTTTTTATTATCACAGCTGTAAACAGTTGTGCTGCTTGCTAACAATGTAAAAGTCTTTACTGTTACCTTTAATCAATCTAATACATCCTTACTGAATAAAAATTGCAGTTTTATTTATTTTTTATCTTAATGACGCCAATCTTTTGAACAGTAGTGTAAGCTACAGCAAATAATTAAGAACAAGAAGCAAGAGTAGGGAAAATGTATCCAACAAATTGATTTGACGGAACAGGAGGTATGGCAATTTTTAATAAACAGCTTTTCTGTCCGATTACAAAAGCATACACAGATAAACACACCTGTAACTTCCAGAGAAAGTCCAGTCTGGCAGTGGACTCCACCTGCTGTGCATGAAGGTAGAGCGCTAGCACAAACACCGTGATGACTACTGGTGTCATGATCTTTAGAGGAACCCGCATGTCTGTCACACAGCTACAACACACACGGCACTGAGTGTCAACAACTACACACTAGTCAAAGAGCATGATGATCTAATCACATCACAACAGTATGTAGCTACATAGTCACACATTTGATTTACTGCTATTGTGCAATCTTTATAGGCATGCAATGAAAACAACATGCTTACTGATATTTCTTTCAGATCAGGGTTTCTATTTGACTGGTTTTATCTTACCTTGTTCCATTAATATACTCTCTGTGAATACAAAGAAAAAGCAAATGTATCAGAAGGATGGAGCACAACAGTCAAAATGTTATTTTCAGATAGACTCAGTAGAACTGATATAAGGCAAATGAGCAAGCAGACAATCAATAGTGGATTTGTTAGCATGGGTCTACTCAATGGAGTGGTAGGCTAAAGCTGACTGAATTACAGTCATTTTCTGAATGAAAGAATATTGATACTGTGCTTGGTCCCTACTTAATCTTACTGACCCCAAACTTTTGAACAGTAGTGTAAGTAGTCAGTAACAGCACAACTGTTTTCACCATTGATAATAAGAAATGTTACTTGAGCATCATATCAGCATATTAGAATGATTTCTGAAGGATCATGTGACACTAGGCTGCTAAAAATTCAGCTTTGCCATCACAGGAATAAATTACAATTTAAAACATCATATAGTCAAATAGATAACATTATACTGTATTTTTGATCAAATAAATGCAGCCTTTGTGAGCACAAGAGACTTATTTCAAAAACATTAAAATATTGCCAGCTCAAAACTGTTGATTGATAGCTTATATAATATCCAGTTACAACTTTGATATAGAAATAATGCTAGGGGATATTTAGCAGTCCCATAAATGTGGAAGAGACAACCGTCCATACATTAACAAAAAAACGACATTTAAAATACAGCAAAAAAAATAAAATAATTCTTTATAATTTTGATAAGGAGGATGATGATGATTATGGAAAGGATGCTGATCCAAGAAAATGTGCAACTTGGCTAAAATCCAAATACTCACATGGCATTGGCCATGACCAGCAGGTCCACATTGTCAAAAAGGCTGACCTCAGGCACCTCCACGATAAGCACATACAGGACCTCGATGAAGAGCATGAGGAAGAGTTTACCAATACTGCTGACCTGTAGGAACACTGAGCAGGCCAGTAAACTGAGCAGCACACATGATGAGAAGTACTGCAGCGGAAGAGAAAAACATTCAGAAATTAATATTTTGCTTTCCCTTCAACTTATTCCAAGTATGATGGATCAAAAGACAAGCATTTCAGAGCAGTGCCTAAAATTAGACCCTTGAAAAATAAATGCGAAAGACATATCACTGCAGGAAAATCCAGATGAAAGATGTCCAGCTGGTCTTTTGGAACATGGTACTGTAGCTGGTTTCGAGCTGCTCATTGCTACTGTTACAAAACTGGACTGATCTGAGAACAGTGCCACACACCTCTGGGAAATTGCAGGTGGGTGACGAGCTGTTGCAGAGGCTGTCCTGAGACCAGAGAGAGTAGTTGAAGAAAGAGCTGCGGACATGGCAAGCGTTCACATCTCTGGGGGTGATGTTAAACTCCTGTCCTAAACATGTCTTCAGGTCATCTGTACTGCAGGTGAACTAAAGGACAGATAAAGATGTTACATGTGACATTATAACATTTAATGAACCCACTAAAGATCACGTTATTAACTAACTTTTCAATGTCAAAAGCTAATTACTTAAAAGCAGGCGATTTCTGTGCCATTATCAACGATATACATGATTGAAAAACTAAAGATTTCTATTTTTGCTATTCTGTTTGGTGCCTCTAGTCCTGTAAGGCTTTAAATATTGTGACACAGGTTAAGTGTTAGTTAACTTGTATTGCTGTATGGTTAAATCTCAAAGGCATTAAAGCACTGAATCTTAAGGTTAAGACTCGTGGGACTCACAATGTTAATGAAAGCGGAGAGAAAAACCAGGACGATTGTAAAAACTCCCACCAGGGTGCTGTTGAGTCTGGACTGAACAATCCTTTTAGACAGAGTTTGCAGAGGCACAGGGAAAAACTGTCAATAGAGAAAAAAAACATGATTTGAGTTTCTTATTAGAGGTAACGCCACAGTAAAACGATTTGTCGTCACATGATGAAAACCAACTTTTTTTCTTTCTTTCTCTCTTTTAAATAAAAGAGCTGCTGTTTTGAACTTTCTACTTGAAAAAAAAAATGGTGGTTTCCCAAAAAAAGAAAAAGAAAAGCAGCACATCTGTTTTCAACATTGATGATAAACGTTTCTTGAGCTCCAAATCAGCATATTACAATGATTTCTGTAGGATTATGTGACACTGAAGACTAAAGTAATGGCTGCAGAAAATTCAACCTTAATAAATGAAATAATAAAAAATACATACATTTTTTTTATTATTATTATTATTAAAAAAAGACCTTGTGGGGATCTTGTGGGTTTGCAGAGATTCAGGCTTGTATGAAAGACTTTTTACGGGTCAGGAAGTTCAGAATCTAATTCCACAGCATCTCTAAGGAAAGACCTGTGACGCCCCTAGCCGCCCATGGAGCAGCGCAGTGACAGTTCCACTTCAGTGTGCACAAATGAGCTGCCAGCGCTTTATTGTGTCTCTGTCTTTGTTCTGTGTGACTCATTGTCTCTGGAGACCTGCTCAAAGTTATGCAGCTAAAAGCCCAATATCAATCAAACCCGCTCAGGTTATTTTAGTGGAGAAGGTTGATAAACACTTGGATTTAGCGATGATGTGTTTGTGAGAGTGTTAGGAAATGGTCTGTGAAAGATGTGTTAAGAGATGTATTTTTTTACAGGGCTTGTTTTTGTGTTTTGCTGCACTTTAGGGACAAAAAAAGGGCATGTTTGACCTCTATTATTTCTAATATAATTATTTGTAATTACTATTTACTATATCTATATAGTTAAATTCTATAGTATTATTATCATTATTTATGTCTGAACTTCTTTATATTACACATTAACATTGTATAGGCTATATCTCATGTGTACAATCCCAATATTTCACTTACCTCAAAACAGGAGTATATGGCTGAGATGAACATGACGGCCAACAGGAGGACCAGGCACACCACATAGAAGCCAATCATCAGCCCGGAACTGCAAAACAACAACACACAGGTATAGACAGGGAACCAGGTGAACAGAAAATAGCTATATATCATTGTAAACATAATATATATACACTACCGTTCAAAAGTTTGGGGTCGGTACGATTTTAAATACTTTTAAAAGAATTCTCTTCTGCTAACCATGGCTGCGCTTATTTGATTAAAAATACAACAAAAATCAGTTATAGTATTAAATATTATTTCAGTGTAAATCAGCTGTTTTCTGTGTGAATATATAGTAAAGTGTAATTTATTCCTGTGATCAAAGCTGAATTTTCAGCATCACCAGCGTCAGTGTCTTCAGTGTCAAATGATCCTTCACAAATCAGTATAATATGAGGATTTGATGCTCAAGAAATATTTATTATTATTATCAATGTTGAAACAGTTGTTGGTCTGTCAGTTGTACAGTTTTTTTTTTTTTTTTTTAGGATTCTTTGATGAATAGGAAGTTCAAAAGAACAGCATTTGTTTGAAATAGAATCTTTTGTAACATTATAAATGTCTTTACTGTCTTTGATAAATAAAAGTATTGATTTCTTTCCTCAAAAAAATAAAAATAAAATTCTCACTGACCCCAAACTTTTGAACGGTAGTGTATATAATATTATTTTATGTCATAATTAACATAGGGTCTGACGGAGAGGAGAGACCTGCTTTGAATGTTTTGGCTGCTCGGGTAATAACTGTCTTCACCTTTACAAAGTCAAAATGAATGAAAGCTTCTGTGTATGTGACACTCCCATTCAAATTCAAACAAAACCTTCTCTAAACCTGTAGCTTGTTTGAATGCTTTAGAAAACATTTGCTAGGATCAGGTTTTTAACTGAAGTGTACTTACTGTGGCACAATGACGATCTGAATGAAGCAGATGAATAAAAAGACGAGGGAGGCACAGGCTACGTATGCTCCGAACCTGGCGTCTACCTGCTTGGAGTACTGACAGAAGGTGAGGAAAGAGGAGAGAAAAGAGCGGGGTTACAAAAAAACATTTAAATGGCTTGTGAAAGTGGTGTGTAACTGACGGAAGGGAGTGTATGTATACATGCTAACTGTTAAATATTTTAGTATAATTTTAAAAAATAAATTTAGTCTTAGTTTATCCAGGCCTGAAAATTTCCTAATGTTTCCAGGTTTTCCACAACAAAGGGAACCCTGAAAAATATTAAATATTTAAAACCGGATTGTGTAATAAAGTTGCAGTTTTGCTTGGTTTAATAAAAAATGGTAAGTTTGGGTTCAGCAATCATTTTTAAATGTTTTTGATAGAACTCTCTTATGCTTACCAAGGCTGCATTTGTTTGACCAAAAATACAGTCATAACAGTAACATTGTGAAATATTATAACATTTTAAAATAGCTGTTTTGTATTTTAATATAATTTAAAATGTAATTTATTCCTGTGATAGCAAAGCGGAATTTTCAACAGTCATTACTCCAGTCTAGAGTGTCACATGATCCTTCAGAAATCATTCTAATATGCTGATTTGCTGATAAAGAAACCTTTCTTATTAATAATATTGAAAACAGTTGTTCTGCTTAATATTTTTGTGGGAAATGTGTTGCTATTTTTTAACGTTCTATTTATCAACATATCCTGAATAAATGTATGTTTGGAAACATTATAAATGTATTTACTGTTACTTTTGATCAATGTAATGCATCCTTTTTAATAATAATTCATAATACAAATATATTAATTAATAATAAAAATTAATATTTATTTATTTATTTTAAAAAACACACCAAAACAGTAGATATGTAAAATATCTAACAAAATAACATCAAGTGAATTTCTTCAGACAAAGACCATGAAGGATAATTACTTAGACATTCAGGACACAGACAATGAAAGACAACAAAAGCAATAATTATCTCCACTACAAACCGGAGGCAAGTCTCTGAAAGAGTCATCTAATCAGAGCTAGAAGTATGAGGACCAGCATACAACCTGCTAAATGTGTATGCGACTGCAGACGGAGGAAGAGACCGTAAATGCAGAGGCTTGGAGACTTCCCTTCCATTACCCTTTCGTCACCATCTTTACAAAGAAACCGAATCTTCTACACAGTCACAAAAAGTTTGGGCATCTCTTTGAGGTGGGGGAGGTCAGTGGTGACTAATGCTTTGAAGGTAACACCATAAAATAACTTAAATCACAGCGCAGCATGAAGACGTCAGTTTCTGACTCATTCCGAACCTGGACCTTGAATTTCATTGCCTCTATTCATCTTAGCAGCGTGCCACATCTTTGAGCTATGCTGAATACTTTTAGGCCGCCTGCACAACAGTACAAACATAATACACTTCTGATTGGCTCTCTATTTTATTTTTGCTATGCAATTGAAGAAACACTTTTCCAGTAACATATGATCTGTTAAATGGTTAGTTCATGCTCACAAGTCACGCAATTTATGACAAAACTTCAAGAAGGCTAGATCGTTTTAGCTTGATGACGCATTTAAATCAGTAGATCTGGCAACTATTACGTCCATGTGGCGAGCAGGACGAGGCCGAGGGCTGTGGGAGAACGGTGTGAGGCCGGTGGCGTGATTGATAATGAGAGTTTGCCAAGTGAGATAAGTGTTACTTTTTTGTACTATTATATCGTAGTATACATAAGTATATATAGTATACTATATTATAGTATACTACTATAGAATTTATTCATATTTTGAACATTTTGCAAAATTCCATGGAACAACAATATTGTGTGGATTAGCATTAGCTAATAAATCACGCTGTGGTGTTAAGGTTTATCTTATCATTGGTCACGTAAAAGAGAGCCATACCTTCTTCTCCAGGTCAGGTTCTCGGAATGTCAGCAGAAATTTCTTGACGTGTTCGGACCGTAACCGGTCGATGCTCCGAGCATCAATGGCACGGCCCAGAAATTCGTCCACCTCGTCCTCGGGGTTCAGGTTTTCTTGCGTGTTTCTGAAAATGAAATGTCTAGATAACACAAGACGAGACACCGTTTTTCCACCTTCTTCCTCCCCTCTTATTCTTACAATCCTATACAGCCAGACCACCAGAAAGCAGAAGCGCTGGTCCTGTGCGCAACGCAGCTGTAGTCTTTTTAACTTAAATTAAAATTATACATAACTTTACCTGATGTGCCTGCGTGTAGTTTAGCGGGGATGCTCTGTAATGTGAATTCCCTTCTGTTGATGTCCTGATAACTATTTAAATATTGGAAACTCAAACAGCGAGCCGAGGATCAGTCTCTCTTCCAATGATTTGTACTGCGCGTCGTGTACAAAAAGTTATAGACAATCAAAATCCTTTTAGACAATTCAACTTCGGCAACGGGCGGGCGCGTGCGTGAGGCGAGCGCGTGAGGCGAGCATGAGCGCAACAGTTTCACAGAACGCACCCGCTTGTCGCTGCACCTTGTGCTCGACCAATTCACCTCACTCTAAAAGGCTGATACTTCTGTGTCGCTATACACTACGCGTTGGTTGGTTTTACTTCTGCGTCGTTGTCCGCGTTGACGCGCAATTACACATGCAGAGGGAGCATGTGAAACCCGTGGAGCGGTTCTAGCAATCACAGCGCTTGCGGTGCGCGTAGAATTGACGCGTCGTTAAATTTTTGGAGAGGTGCACGTCAGGGTACGACGTAAGTTCGACGCAGAAGTATAAATTGGGCTTTACCTCTGTTTAATGCGATCTTAGTGTACGTGCGAAACCATGGCATGACCAAACCTAAGCTACTATCAGAGAAGTAACGTTGGTCGACTTATATCTCATGACCTCTGACATAGACTGTTTCTGCTGCTAAAAGACACCTGTTGATACCTGTTAAGAAAAAAACCAAGAAAACTGGACTCGTTTTAACAAGCTAGATAAAAGGTAATGCCCTGGCAGTGGCAAATAGCTTTGTTTTAATATTTGATTTGATTACATTAATGTTTAAGTTGAGATTTACAATAAATATTTTATTGCTGTGTAAAGGGAATACTGCTGGTAAAAGCACCTTATTTGTTTAAAGTTTTTGCAAACCACATGTTATTACACTTTTGTGTATATAGCAGTACATTTAAATCAAAAGTGAGTAATAGACTACTTTAGAATTCATTATTAAAGTTTGCGCGTAACAATGCGATTAATCGCGATTAATCGCAAGAAAATCATGCGATTAATCGCGATTAAAAATTTTAATCGTTGCCCAGCACTAAAAAAAACGTATGGTAAGTTTTAGTAAGTAGGCCTGCATGGAATTTGTACCATAATTGAATCCATTTGGCAGATTTGAAAACATGATAAAGAGCACAGATTATACACAGGCCTACTTATAGGACACTGAACATAACCAACACAAAGCCGAGCTTAGTTGTTGAAGTGCTTGCTTCACTGATATACATTTCAACTGATGAGTTGAGTGTATTGGCTATCCGAAGTTCGAACCTCAAACAACCAGAACTAAGAGTCTGAAGTTTAATCATATTAGTTTTACTTTTTATATAGTTATACAAGCAAAGCTATATATGCATCATTCAAAAGTTTGGGGTCAGTAAGATTTTTGACAGAAATTAATACTTTTATTCAGCAAGAATGCATTAAATTGATCAAAAGTGAGGTACATTTATTACAAAAAAAATTACATTTCAAATAAATTATGTTAAATAGAGGCTTCTTTGAAAATGTTAACGAACCCCAAACTTTTAAACACTTGTGTATATATAGATATATAGAGATAGGGAGATGTGTTCCATATACTCACTTGTCTTTAGAATCCTCAAATCCCTGCAACAAAATTGGAAGAGAAAATGCATTATACATCAACGCAGAATGAAAGAGCATTAGAATATCTGCATTTGTACAGTCAGCACAACAGTGACTCCTTCTGGAAAACTTCAACAAAAACAGGGCAAGAAAGCTTCATAATTATAGGGGTTTAGTGAATTCAAAAGCAAGTGAAAAAGTTTTTTCCCTGGAAGATGTTTGGACCACATTCTTCTTTTTGTGTTCGAGTATATATATATATATATATATATATATATATATATATATATATATATAGATAGATAGATAGATAGATAGATAGATAGATAGATAGATAGATAGATAGATAGATAGATAGATAGATAGATAGATAGATAGATAGATAGATAGATAGATAGATAGATAGATAGATAGATAGATAGATAGATAGATAGATAGATAGATAGATAGATAGATAGATAGATAGATAGATAGATATATATATAGATATATATATATATACAACACAAAAAACAAAACATGATTTTCCCAGCACTCCATTCCAAAACAAGTACCTACATCCCACACATAAATCTCTATTAATTTATTTTACTGTCATAAAGCACATAACAGACCAGTGACAGTTACAAGAGATAAAGAAGGGAGGGGTTGGGGAGTAAAATAAATATATAATATTTAGGACAATCATTTATGGACAACCTCCGCAACAATGTTGTAAACCGAGAGCTGCTGCGAGACTGAGGATTAAATATTACCGTACTGATTTAACCAAACACATGAAGACTGACATTGTGTATAATCAAGCTGAGAGCCGATTCTGTTTAGGGTTAAAAGTTAAAATTCAGACCCCAATGAGAACAGAAGTAAACAGAGCTGGCTAATTGATTTATCATGGTAGGACATGGGAAACACGGAGAGGAAACCAAATAGGCCCATGTTGTACATGTGCTTTAGTGGTTGGTGTTTTGTCTTTTGGGGTTTTAACTATGATTTCACACAAACATTAAAAGTTACTAAACTTAGTGAGCAGCCTGCCTACTGCCTACTAAGACAGCTGCCATTGGTTTGGAAAGCTTTACACAAACAGCACGAGACATTCAACATTTTATTTCAACAGTGTTTGAGATTATGTTTCTAAGCTAACGACAACTATAAAAATATACAGCACATACAAATGTCGTATAAATCAATTGTCATCGGTAATATACACACACACACACACACATATATATATATATATATATAGAGAGAGAGGGAGAGAGTTGTCTCCAAAACGGACTTTTAAACATTTAAGCAAAAGCCTTTAGATAATATTTTAAAGACCATGAGAAACAAATTAAGTCATCAAATGTGTCCAAACATATTTTAGTTTTTGCTGTGGAATTATAGAAAATTGCAGTTTCACTTGTAATGGTAAAGACAGCTGAAAACCAGTAATATGAGAACCCCAGTCTCTACAATAAGTGCTTTGAATAAAAGCATCTGCTAATTGACTACTTACTTAATATAAATATTTAAAAAAAAAACATCAGATATGTGGGTCAAGGAACAGTCTGAATGTTCCCATTAGATATCAAATGACCATTTGAATGGTAATTTCTAACCACTAAACATTAAATTATGGGAGTAAAAATCATCCATGGGACATGTTGCTAGATGCATAATAATAGTCAGTAAATTTTTAGTCTCAGTAGACTCAATGCACTCCCACACACAGGCCTCCATGTATTCACTCGACAGAGACTATGACCCAGTCAGTATGTTGATGTGTTACACCATTTGTTTCTCTCCTTGGACTGAGCAACACATTCTGGGCCAACACAAGCCTCTAGACAATACAACAGACAAAAAAAAGGTGCTGTTGTTATTATGAAACAGATATTCTGCTCATCAGAATACACCACGTTTATTTGCCTTCATCAATGCTCAGTGTTTATGTAGGTGTGGATAGATATCTGGATATTACATGCCAGCCCGGCAGGATATATCGGATAGGATTATCTGTGCCACTATCACCACCAAATGCAATTACAGAAATAATTAGAAACAGGTTCCCCCCATCTGCTGTTGGTTGGACAAACAGATATTCCAAAAGCAAAATCCACTGACTAAGCCAATGTTGCAGAGTTATGCTGTTCAGGATGCTTAAACTAAGGGGTTTACTGCTACCCTCTGCTGATAGATGTTGTAACTACACCATTTATTTTTTGTAAACATTCAAAAGATGCTGCCTATCAGCATTTTCATTGCATGATTTATAAACACCCACCAGTGTGAAAACACCCACAAATTTAGAAACGCCCACTTTTGTTCCACAGAGACCCCATACTCAGATTTTCAGCATTATTACTCCAGTCTTCAGTGTCACATGATCCTTCAGAAATCATTCTAATATGCTGATTTATTATTATTGTTAATGTTGAAAACAGTAATATTTGAGTAAACTGTGATACAATTTTTTTTAAAAGAACAGCATTTGAAATATAATTTTTTTTCTAATGTTTTTTTCTTTGCCGTCACTCTTGAATTGAATGCCTCCTTGCTGAATAAAAGTATATCATTTTTTTTTTAAAGAACTTACTGACCCCAAACTTTTGAAAGTGTTTTTCATGACAGTATAGTAGACGTTCAAAACTGATGTGGCATATTTGTGTTGGAATATTCAGTGTTGGGGAGTAACTAGTTACATGTAAAGGCTCATATCTAATAAAAGAAGATTAACGGCGTTACCTAATTTAATTACAAAATAAATGAAACTGTAATCAGTTACTGAGAAAAAATGTGTCATTAAATTAGTTACTTATGAAAACGTTAACGATTACAAAGGGGTTACATCTGAATATTTTCGGTAAAAAGCTAGGATATGTTGAATAATATTAACTTGTTGCTTTGCCTGTTTTTGATGTGCACAAAGCTTCCTGCCATTTAAAGGCCGTTTAGTAAAGCGATGCTATTCTGATGCTTTTGACTGGTTCTCTAGTTTGAAATTGCAGCGCTATTTTTCAAATTTGCATAAATGTTTGAATTTGCAGGTTAACCCTGCCTGGTTTAAATGTTTGAAAATGATTAACAGTTGAAAACATTAGTTAGAAATTTAGAAAAGCAATCAAAAAGTAAACACTTACATTAATAAAGTAATTTAAATAGTTACACTACTTATTACATTTTAAATAGGGTAACTTGTAATCTGTAACCTATTACATTTCCAAAGTAACCATCCCAACACTGGGAATATTTTAAATCATAAACTTGGATTGGAAAAAGAGTAGACATCTATTTTTATAATGGAAACGTCAATATTCCTGTTATGTTTTATTTGACAACTCAATTTGAAGTGTGTCAGTCGTAGAAAGAACAAGTTAGGCTGGATTTCTGTGTTCTTTCTTACTATGTTAACCAAGATGAGAAGGAACAGGTGATTCAGACAAAAAAAAATAAAAGGGTATTCCCATGGAGTGCACAGGAACTAATTGCTGGTTCCACTTTGCCTGATTAAATCCCTCAGGGCGGCATGTGAGGCAGCCCAGCTTTATTTAATTAGAGTGCTGTTCCCTTCGGGTTCCAGAGCCGGGGAAAAGCAGAGAACTGAATGAAAGAACAGGGACTACACAAAGGGCAGAAGGCCCTTTACATGTGACCCTAAAGCAATGTCCTTGGGATTGTTTTGGCTTAGTTAACACATGGTACAAAAAGCCTCCCCTGTCAAAGGCCTTATCCTCCAACAGAGGCGGTAATGGGTTTTAGACAAGGCAATTAGAGTAAATGCAAACCAACTGCTTTTCAACAATCAGATAATGTTCTCATCCTTTCAAAAGTGTAGCTTCCTCACCATCATCTTCAGCCCCTTGGAAACCTGATTGCCACCCAGGTGATTGTAGAAGGGCCGGTCGGTCCAGTGAGTGCTATTATGAGTGACAGAGTTGGTGCGTTGCCGGTTCATCTTAGCAATCATGGCCTTTTCTTCTTTCTGTGAAGGGAAATATAAAACCGGAGCAGTATTACGGTCCATGCTTTTAATGTCATAGTCATTAACTAGCTTGTCTTTTGACGTCACATTTCCCTGAATTTATCCATGCGGCTACTTTGCATTCATCTACTGCCCTGCATCATGTGAGTCATGCATTTGTTGAGCACTAGGTGTTTCTGCTTTAAAAGGATGTGCATATTAACAGAGAATCATAGCTTGTCAAAACCATGTGTTGTTAATGTGCGATTCAAAATACACAAGACCAAGGACACTCTAAAATGTATTAATTCACCTGAATTTATTATAAAATTGAACTGATATGGATTCTCACCCGTTTCTGACTGCAGCCCACAATGAGGTAGGTTTCAATGTTGTGCTTCTTGAGATAGATATTTCTTTCTCCACCAAATCCAGGTTCCACATCATAATCCCCATTCAGGTAGTTCAGGGTAGCCTTGGTGATATGGATACGCCTGAGATGATAAAAACTATTTTCATGCGGCCGGAAGTTGCCTGAACTCAATCAAAAGCGGTATATTTGAATTCGGAATGGAATACTGATGTACTGAATACTGAGTATGTACCGCTACTTACTGTATACACATCATTTTCTTTTATTAGATATGAGCTATTTTCACACGGATTTTGATTGGATCGATATCTACAATATTTAATGACAATCCGTTCAATGCGTACATGCATAAGATAACGATGTACAATGAGAATTATTTAATAATCATGTTTAATATTAATGGATACAAACACAAGTTTGTTAGTTCAGTTTGTCAGTTCAATGTTATACAACTTTTTAATTTAAAAAATATATGAATATATTTAACTGTATTGGAAAGTGTTTTCTATTTGACTGTATTATGTGATAAAATTATTTCCTTCATGTTCATGTTGCAAATAGTACTTAAATACACCGAGTAGATGACATATTTAAATGTCAAATATACTGTACTTAAATCACATGAAATTCAAAATAAACATTTAATGCAAAGACTGAAGTAATTTCTCAATATGAAAACCAATTAAGACGATTAATTAATAAAATATAGCTAAAACAATTTAAATAAATGTACAAACGGCTCAAAAATAAATAAAACACAAATGTATACAAATAATTAACTTATAACACAAAACTGTTGACTGTTAAGCCCATTGTATTGTAGACCTCAGACATCCCTGAAAACTAAATTAATGATTAATATTAATTATATCTTTACTTAAACAAAAGCAAAAAAAAACATATGAGCGTTCCTAATTTATATTCTTTGATAATAAATACAAAGCACACAGTAACTTCTTCGCTTTGCATAAAATTTTTATTTTGAATTTAATTTGATTAAATGCAATATATTTGACATAAAAAAATGTCCTTTCTCTGTGAGAATTATTTCTCTGTGAATTATTTGTTCTCATAAGTTCATGCAGTATGAACAGCAAACTATTGTTTGTACTACCTATTAATGTGATTTCAAAATAATGCTCATTGTACATCATGATATCTTATGCATATATGAATTGAAAAGAAACCTCATTTAAAATTATTTTTGTTAAATATTGTAGATATCGATCCAATAAAAATCCATGTGAAAATAGCTCTCATCTAATAAAAGAAAATTACGTGTTCTACAGCTGGATATATCTCATGTACTACCTTCCATTTTTATAGTGTGTGAAACACATTATGGAGCACTTACTCTTTTGGAAAATAAAACATTTATTTTCGTCATAAAAGAAAAAAGAAAAGTTTATTGCATTGTGAAGCACTATGCATAATTACATAATATATAATATAACATAATATTATGCATCGTACAGTACCTGTTCTGGCATAGCTGTGTTTTTTTTTTTATAACTATATAATTTGTAATTTAATTTCTATATATAATATTCTCTATTTCGTGTTGATGTTTCTTTTTAGAAAATTGCAAAAATCACACATTTTATGATTTAAGAATATTTAGAAATTTGGTAGTAGTAGTAAATCAGTCAGGTATTACATTCAGACAGAAATACTATGTACAGCATACATACTACAGAAAGCAGTATGCTAGTATGTTATTCCGAACAAAACTATGGTGAAGAAAGTTAACTGGAGAGACACTTAGAGACATGTCTGATCATATCTTGCATTTTCAGATTTTAAAAGTGAAGAGTCTCAAGGAGTTCAGGTGAGAAAACATGACCAAAAAATAAATAAAAATCCAAAGTTCATGAACCCACCCTGCTTCGCCCCCAGCTTCCATGTGATTGGCCAAGGTGACATCGTTGGACCAGACATCAAACTGCCACTTCCTTAATCCCAGCACCCCGCAGTGGACGCGCCCGCTGTGTATACCCACACGCATGTTGACGTTGACCCCAGTGACTTCCCTCACCAACCTGAAGCACAAAGACAAAAAATGTAGATATACCTGCTGTTATTTTTATGAATTATATATTTGTATACCATGCATCAACAATATGCTAAATTTGAACTCTGAAGGTGATACTAAACTTCTAGTGTTACTAGAAAGAAGCTGTTTAGATGTAAACTTTGTTGAACCATGTGGGAAGAATGACATAAGTTCATAAGTCAAGGAGACAAATTTAAAACTATTAAACTTGGTGTCGGCAATCAATTGAAATGAGAAGACTGCGAATGTGAACCAAAAAGAATGTCCAGGGGAATCTGTGAACAATTGACTTATTCAGAAAAAAAAAGAAAAAAATGTATATATATATATATACACTCACCGGCCACTTTATTAGGTACCCCATGCTAGTAACGGGTTGGACCCCCTTTTGCCTTCAGAACTGCCTCAATTCTTCGTGGCATAGATTCAACAAGGTGCTGGAAGCATTCCTCAGGGAGTTTGGTCCATATTGACATGATGGCATCACACAGTTGCCGCAGATTTGTCGGCTGCACATCCATGATGCGAATCTCCCGTTCCACCACATCCCAAAGATGCTCTATTGGGTTGAGATCTGGTGACTGTGGAGGCCATTTTAGTACAGTGAACTCATTGTCATGTTCAAGAAACCAATTTGAAATGATTAGAGCTTTGTGACATGGTGGAAGTAGCCATCAGAGGATGGGTACATGGTGGCCATAAAGGGATGGACATGGTCAGAAACAATGCTCAGGTAGGCCGTGGCATTTAAACGATGCCCAATTGGCACTAAGGGGCCTAAAGTGTGCCAGGAAAACATCCCCCACACCATTACACCACCACCACCAGCCTGCACAGTGGTAACAAGGCATGATGGTTCCATGTTCTCATTCTGTTTACGCCAAATTCTGACTCTAACATCTGAATGTCTCAACAGAAATCGAGACTCATCAGACCAGGCAACATTTTTCCAGTCTTCAACTGTTCAATTTTGGTGAGCTCTTGCAAATTGTAGCCTCTTTTTCCTATTTGTAGTGGAGATGAGTGGTACCCGGTGGAGTCTTCTGCTGTTGTAGCCCATCCGCCTCAAGGTTGTGCGTGTTGTGGCTTCACACATGCTTTGCTGCATACCTCGGTTGTAACGAGTGGTTATTTCAGTCACTGTTGCCCTTCTATCAGCTCGAACCAGTCTGGCCATTCTCCTCTGACCTCTGGCATCAACAAGGCATTTCCGCCCACATAACTGCCGCTCACTGGATGTTTTTTCTTTTTCGGACCATTCTCTGTAAACCCTAGAGATGGTTGTGCGTGAAAATCCCAGTAGATTAGCAGTTTCTGAAATACTCAGACCAGCCCTTCTGGCACCAACAATCATGCCACGTTCAAAGTCACTCAAATCAACTTTCTTCCCCATACGGATGCTCGGTTTGAACTGCAGGAGATTGTCTTGACCATGTCTACATGCCTAAATGCACTGAGTTGCCGCCATGTGATTGGCTGCTTAGAAATTAAGTGTTAACGAGCAGTTGGACAGGTGTACCTAATAAAGTGGCCGGTGAGTGTATATATACATACAGTATATATATATATATATATATATAAGCGCTTTTGAGTAAGTTATAAGTGGGCTAAATTTGTGATCAATTCTTTAAATGGTGGGTTTATCTTTGCTAGCTTTCCCTTTTTCAATGTGTCCAATTTACCAGTATTTCCTACATTTTGACCCTGGCACACTTTATCCCACAGCTACCATTTTAATATATGACATAATTCATAACCTTACCCATTGACACATCTCATCTCACTTTATACCTTTATGAAAAAGTCATAAGGTGGCTTAGCGCTACCTGAAATGCACCTTTCCACTCAGCACATCAACAAGTTAACACAGCACATTCTGATCCCGACATCACACAGCAAACAAGCCATCAAACTCCTTTGAACATTGAGGGCGACAGGCAAGTCTGCGGAAAATAGTCTCGTCCTGTGATGGGGCGCTGGGGCGGCTGGCTGAAGCTCAGAGAAACACAGACACGTGCTCACTGGAGCAGAAAGCCAGTCACCGCCATTCCTGCCTTAACAAACAACTGCTCAGAGATACTGAACATTAGAGAAGTCAGGCCTGTGGACACGTTCACATGCACGCAAGACAAATAACTTGGAAACAACTCAATTAAGACATGACTGACCTGACCAATTAGAAGAGCAGGACAGACCCACAGAGGGTAATTCAAAGTTTCTAGAAAAAAACCTAATGCTTATAACAGTTTAGTCTTGATTAGTAAGGCAAGTATATAAGATTAAGTGTTCTCTCTCAGCTCAGCCTTTCTGTGAACCTTCATACGGCAGTAATAGCCGCACTTTCCATGAACAGGGGACAAAATAGGGCCTGAAACTCCTAAAAAAGCATTTTTTCAGTCAGTTAGTCAGTGCAAAGATGCACCTTCAGACCCTTCCGAAGATGTTGATCAATGTACAGTACATTTCAAAGGAATTCAAGCGAAATATTATATGAGCAGATTTATTTTAGGTTTGCAAATTTGTAACCCTGTTATCAAAACGTCTATCGGTAAATATAGTTTAGGAATTTGCAATTTTCTAGAAATAAATAATCAAAGGAAAAAAGGGAATAAGGGAAAACATTTTTTTGGAGGTCTCCCACAACAGGTTTACAGGCATCAAAGGTCAAATATGGTTTTACTTTCTCATAATATACATTGCACATCACCACATTTTTTCAATGATTCTCAAATGACTCGTCCGATGATTCAGTCTCTCTAAATTCCTCCTCTGCTCTGATTGGTCTACCGCATACAGCGCTTTTCGGAAATGAAATGTCCATTACCATAACTGAATTTCAGTTCCGGAGGCTTCCTAAAGCTCAGCGACTGTACACACTGTAAAAACCGTGACGATGGCGTCAATCTTACCATATCAATCCGAGGGCGGGTCTGAAGATGAAACACTGGAAGATCTAGTTATTCAACCCGAACCTCCATCGCAAGGATGTCTTGAGCAGGATGTTTCTCAGTGATGCGCTACTCAGTTTGAGGTACATTATGAGATGTTGCAGCTGTAATTCCTCACCATCAGTATTAACAAGTGCATGTCCATCAACAAACAGATGTGCATGTTTCCAATTTATTGCTACACATGTGGGAACTGCATCAATAACTATCAATAACAGTGCATACGTTAGCAGAGCACTAACGTGAATGACTGATGTAACATTAAAGTTTGTAAAACGAATCTTGCTCAATCCTTTATCTACGGAAGCGTATTGCATTCACTTGAGGAAAAAAATCTACTCTGTTTTTCTGAATTAATGACTTAATTATCTCAGAATTACGAGATAATTTTTCATGGAAAAAAAGTTTTTGCTCTGTTTTTCTGAATTAACGAGTTAATTATCTCAAAATTATGAGTAACTCATTAATTCATAAAAACAGTGTGAAAAAATGTTTTTCAAGAAAAATTTCTCTCATAATTCTGAGATAATTAAAGGGGTCATATAATAGTACATGCACTTTTACAAGTTGATTGTACTGAAATGTGTGTTGGCAGTGCCTGTACACAACCATCATAAAATGATAAAAATCCATCCAGTGTTTCTGTTTTAATCTCCTTATATGTTTTCCCCTGCCTCAAATCAAGCCGTGACGTCACACGGTCGGACGCCCCTCCCACGATTGTTGATTGACAGCAGTGTTTCAACACAGACCCGCCCTCGCTCGTCCTGTCAATCATAGTCCGCGCGGATCGGCGCGGTCATTGTTGATATGCTGGAGCACTGTCTATGAGCAGAATGGCGTCTAAGCGATTGTGGTGTTCTGTTCTTGGGTGCAATAACACAGCAGTCATTTTAATGTTCCTAAATCCGAACCGCTGAAGACGCAGTGGCTGAGTTTGTTTTCGAAGGGAATATTCCCCACGAGCAACGTCAATGCTTTCGTGTTTGCGCGAATCATTTCTCAGTGGACTGCTTTATAAAGGAGGGTCAGTATAAAGCTGGTTTTGCTAAGAAGCTGCACCTGAATAAAGGATCGGAACCTATTCGTGTTCCTGCTGAACCTTCAGAAGAACTAAAGTGAGTGTAACGTTTTATTAATCTTTATATTAATATTTATATTAATCTTTGCAAATCGCTAGCTGCACGCTTCACGATGAATGCGTCGGTTTACACTCAGGGTACATTACGGCATGTTTTCTATGTACAACGTTCTCAATATAATTCATAATCCCACGTCTATAATGAACAACGCGTTATGGTTATTGTGTTACAAACGGTGTACGCACAGAACAGAGGGGCGGGGTGAGCAAAACTCATGATCATTTAAAGTCATATGCACTGAAACGGCGTGCTGAAAACAGAGCTGTTTTTGACCAGGTAAAATAAGTGTTTTCTTACAATACTAATGAGAATTTTTAATTAAAGTATATTACAAAATTTTAATTTAGACCCTAAAGAATCATATTAGCTTGTACAAAAATGGCATTATATGACCCCTTTAACTCGTTAATTCAGAAAAACAGAGCAAAAACTTTTTTCCATGAAAAATTATCTCGTAATTCTGAGATAATTAACTTGTTAATTCAGAAAAACAGAGTAGATTTTTTTTCCTCAAGTGAATGCAATACGCTTCCGTATTTATCTTTACTCAGTAAAGAAAAGAAAAAAGGTAGTAAGAACGACAGACAATCTGCATTAATTGACAGTTTTGGGTAATAGTGGCCCACAGCTGATTTGCAGAACTATTTCAGTAAGACAGTAATAACATGAGTTAGCCAGACACCTACACAATATAAAACACAAAACTACGTATTTTGAACACCCGGTAGAAAATATATACATTAATAATTAATCATTCTTACAGGTGTGATTCTGAAAAGCAAGTTTGTTCAAATAAAGTGGGGACCAGACCTCACAGAGATTTGAGATGCAGTCGTCTAGAAGTTATACTGCTGTTGTATCACTGTGGTAATTTTAACCACTTTGGAAGTGTTCACAAAGAGAAATAGCTTTTTCGTTGTTCGAGGGCAGCCAATGAAGACCATAGGCGGGCATTAGGCAATTGTGTTACGCAGTGACATCACGGAAGGGGGATTTGAATTACTGACGACTCGTTTAGGCTCTTCAGAGTTGATTCTATCTTTTGAGAGACGATGACTTTATGTATCGTGCACTTTCGGCTTCACAACTTTGCAGATCTTTTACATTCACAGACAGCTACATTATACATTGCATGAAAGGTAATATTCTAAAAAGCATAACGAAGCACTTTAAGGGAGGAAACCATACTATTATAATAAAATATGATGATAATGACAGATTTGTATGGGACATCAAAGTGTATCTATATTCGTGGAAAGTGTCAGGTCCTGCTTCACCATAGCGTCTCTTTTGTGTCTCCCGGGAGGCATTTAAAACAAGACACAAAAGCCTGGCTGTTCCTGTCTGATGAACAGAAGCAACACTGTAATACTCACGAGATTGCTTCGATCATGTCCACACCCATCTCCACGCAGCAGTGAGCATGGTCGGCACGGGCCTCGGGCAGCCCCGACACGCAGTAGTAGCAGTCGCCCAGGATCTTAATCCGCAGACAGTGATTCTCCTGCAGACACACAGAGAATGGCCAAACGGTGAAAAAGATTGGGCTGGTGTAAACCGGGTCAACAAATTTTGGCTGTTTAAGCCACTGTAGTTCACCATGTTTGCATTAGTTTCAATAAAACCTTCACTCAAAGGTGAAATAATTTAATAGTCATCAGAGTGTGATACCGGTAATCTCATACTGGGAATGTGTTACATATAGCCTTTCCCCCATTAAAGCCCCTTCACATACCGCACATGGTTTTTCCTTTTAAGGGTGCAGATTTTCACAGGGATTTATATGATTTATGAAGACAAAACAAACTCAAAACCCCAAACGGCTGTTCCCAAATGGCTTTAAAAAAGGTCAGATTTTAATCTGTGTCTACAGTGTATTTTTTTATGTAGTAAGTTTGGCATCCCACTATCATGAATTCAAAAATCCAACCCAATTTGTCTTGCTATTTTGCTTGGAAAACATGAGTAGTCGCAACAGAAAGTTTAAAAAAGGCAATATAATATTTAAAATAATAATAATAATAAAAAAAAATTCTGTCCTTATTGGTTAAAGCATGATATGATAAAATATATCAAAAAAGAATAATATAGCATTTAGCATATATAGCATATATGAGGCTTTTACTGTGTTTTTGCTTTTTTTTTAAGCTTGAGACAAGCTTGAGACAGAAAAAAAAGAACATTGGAAGGAACATAAGGTTGAATAAATAATGACAGAAATAAGAGAAGAAACCAGTGAAGAGCAGAAGAGGAAGCCTTGGGCTGAGCACAGGACTTACAGCAGAAGGCCTGGGTCTTATGATAGCCACCTGAATGTCACCCCAGTGCATGCCTCGATTTAACCCGCTGCCTGTACAACAACCTCTATTGTTGATAATCAGGGCGAAGTGCGCATGCATACTTTTTTGTGTCTTTGCTCGAAGGTTTTGGGAAGTGTGCAAACATCTGAACAGACACCAGATGGTTTCCACTTTGAGCGACACCTCTCTGCAGCAGCAGAGTATATGTGCACGAATGCATGGCAACTTGGGAGCGATGAGTCACTGCCACTGGTGGAGATAACGAGGAGATAGTTGGGCTGGAAAACAGCGGGAAGCTCAGTGTGCGAAGCGTGATCGCAAACACTCATTTGACAGGAGGGAGGGCTTGTCTATCCCAGTCAGCTGTGTGAGTGGGATGCAAACGGAATTAATATGATTGGATCTCAGCTTGCCACCGTGTTTTGCTAAAAAAAGAGAAAAAAGGAAAAGCTGCTTGGCTGAGGGTGTGGGCTGTTCTATGGACACTTACAGCGGCTAGTTTGTCGAATCGTGCGAAGAGCTCGTTGAGGGTCATCACTAACTCCTGGGCAGTACACTGGGAAGCCAGACTGGTGAAGCCCTCAATGTCAGCAAAGAGGATACTGCGGATAGAGAGAGAGAGAAATATTAAAAAAAGTTGGAGGTTTCATCAGCTATAGGCACTTTTATATCTTAGGTGTTGAAAACTAACAGATTTCAGTGTTTTTCTTGTTTTTGTATGAATGTCTCAGTAGATCCGTCTTGAAACACCCTTTTATTTTTTACCATGCCATCATCATTTATATTTACCTTTCAAACAATTTTATTTATAGATTTTATTGTTTTACCCTTCTCCAAGACCTTCAATCCTAAATCTGAAAATCCATTATAATATGGTTAATTATTATATAAAGATGATAAAATAATAAATAAACAAATAATTTAAATATTAATTGTATGTAATTCCCGCAATTGTGGCATTCATTTCAAGCAAACATTTTGTCACAGTTCCGAAATAACAATCACTAACAGACCCTTTCTCAATACCAAATACGCTATGTTATTTATATAAAATAATATTTATTGAAAAATAATATTTAAATAAACAATATTAGCCATTATAAAAGTATAAGAAGTTTGTACAATAGGAAATAACCAAGCAAACAGTTGAGTCAAAAGTACAAAACGAGAGCTAGTTATAGTACAGGATTTCAGTTAAATAAAAATATTAAGTTATGAAACTTAACTTTGCCCTTAGCCAAATCGATTTGCTCTGGAACAAGTAATAGATTAATAAGACCAAAGATTGCACGATTGATATACCCAAAATGAATGAAACCTTGCGTTTAAACACTGTTAATTTGCCGCTGGCTCTTATGTTGATAAAGGATTGGCTGAGATAAATCTGTTCTCGGAGGGTCAAATAGGCGCTATGTTTATATAAAAGTCGCATCTTTGAGGTCTAAATAACTACATTCGCGCCGTGACACTATAGTATTTGTAAAATTACGATGTTTGCTTGTCCGCCATGACACTGTCTGTGAGAGAAATCCTGTAAGCAGTGATACAAATGGTGTCACGGTTCACAGGTTCACCTTCCCATTCTGTGTGTTACTGCTCTGATCTGATTGCCCTCGAGCGTCAGCTGTGCTGACGAGCAATCAGATCAGTCGCAGGTGTACCTCGTTTGTGAGTCCTATATGTAGTGCTGTGTTTGTCATGTTCAGTGTCAGATCGTTGTTTTTCCTTGGTCCTGTTCGGTTCTCATGTTGGTGTCAGTCTCGTTCTCAGCTCCCGTTCACGGATTCCTGCAGCTCTCTGCCAGTGCCGTTTCACTCGGCTACAGTGGATTATCTGGTCCGTGTTGTTTCACTCTGCTGCAGTGGATTATCTGGTTCGTGTTGGACTTTCGAGTGACGGAACTACGCTTCCCCCACTGCTGTCATCTGCGCTGCCAGAGCCCTGCTGTCTGAGATAGATCGTCACCAGTCTTCCTGTCTTCACTGTTCACTCTGCATTCATTATCATTAAATACTTTTACTTGCTATTGGATCCTGTGATTCCTACCCTGACAAATGGTGAAACGGTACCTGTGGTGAAACTATTGGATACTAGTAGAATATAAAATAGCCAATCAGAATAGAGAACCAGCGTTGTGGATAAAAGCATTTCCCAAATAAATAAACCCAATAAAAAAGCAGGTCATTCTCATTTATCATCTCAGGCTCTCATCCCCACACATTAGCGCGGTGCACATTCACCTACAGTGTATATTACACGGTTGCCACGGTTACCTGGCTGACAATTGAAACCCTCGCCCACAGCTATTCATTTCAATTGACCATTTGCGAGGCAGACTTTACATAGATACAATATGAGCTAACTAATGTGATCCCAGCATCACAGCTCCATTACCATGCCAATGGCACAGAAGACAGGTTCGTTTGGGAGTGCGCACTCTCTATAGCAACAGATGACATTCACATTAAGAGAATGTTGGGCCTACAGAGACAAGAAAGTGAATAAAGCACGATATTCCCCTGTGGGAGCCGGTAACAGATATGGCTCTTCTTTGTGCACCTTGAATGAAAGACAAAACAAAACTTTGTGGGCTGTAATGACTTGTCCTATTCAATATTCATCTACAGAGCTTTTACTAAATGCTGACACTGATCTAGCTTTATTTCAAACAGCTCTGGGCTGGTCTGACACTCAAGCTAGCGTGACAGTAGAGAGACACTGAGGTTGTTTGACTGAAGCCCAGGTTCTGGGTGATCGTGACCCCTCCGTTCAGACTTAATATTAAAGATGATTTCCAGAAATGTTTAAAATAGGCCCAGAAGGCAGGCTGTTCTCGAACAAAAAAACTTATCTCATGTGATGTGCGCCACTCCCTTTTTCGAGGCACACAGGCTGCTTCGGTTCCCTGAAAAAGCCTGCTTAATGACTTTCAGTCAATCGATCATTGTCTGGGTGAACTTTGACACTGCAGACCTTCTACATATTTTTCTAAAAAAGACCCTGAAGTTCAAACCTCAATTAAATGCTTAGATGTTTCAGCTAAAATAGCAGCTTAACCATCTTAAACCAGCTGATTTAAACAGGCTTTTTAGACATGTCATGACCCTAAAAATAATAATAATAATAATAATAATATTAAATAAACAAACAAATCGTGGTATCATTCATGTCCTTAGAACAAAGAGCAAGAAGAGTTACACTGCCAAGTTAAATTTAAAAAGATTTTTGCTTCTAGTAAATAAAATCCAAAGAGACTTACAAATGAGAAATAAAACAAAGCAATTGAGTGTATTTTAGACCTCTCATTCACTTTGTAGTGGTACAAATTTTCCACTATACAGATTTAATTATTCAAATTGGATTATTGGAATTATTGGAATTGATTTGTGTCCCTTAACATGCCCCTGTCGGTTATATGATATGATTCAATGCACAAAAGGACAACAAATCCCTTAACTACATTTAGCCCACTTCCTACTCCATGATGTCAATACACCATAATGAATTAATGATGCCACTTCTTCATAGTAAATCAAGTGCACAAAGAGCATCATGAAATTGTATCCTATTCATAAAGACTGAAAGCTGTCTGAAAGCTGACAAAGAAGAAGCACAGGAATATCTTATTACAACAGCCCTGATCAAAAACAACTAAGCAAAAGCATCACACAATTGTAAATTGAATTGAGCTGAATTGAATTGAATCAACTTTGTTGGCCTTAGAAATACATTTTAAATGATACCAGATTAGCAGATTTAAAGGAATAGTTCACGCAAAAATGAAGATTTTGTCAAAATTTCATCTTTTAGAAATGACATGAGGGTGAGTAATTGATGACAGAATTTTCATTTTCGGATGAACCAACTATAAAAAAAATTCAAAATTTATTATTTCATATTTTATTATGTGAAAAAGCATACAGGTTTGTAACTGCATGAGGATAAGAAAATATCAAGAATTATCATTTTGATTGAACTATCCCTTTAAAAATCCACAAATAACTAATAGGACAAAAACAACATTCAAACCCTTTCTTATACAATATAGCATGCTGAAACCCTTATATTAGTCACAGATCAAAGGTTTCTATATAGCTGACAGATCTATTAGAGCTTCTATAAATAAAAGCTCAAATAAAAGGCCTCCCCTGGGTGGGTGGATTAAGGTTAGTTGACTCTGAAAGTAGACAGAGTGCAGTGCTCTCTGAAGGCAGGCCTGGAGCATCGGGACTGCTACGAGCATCACAGATGGATCTTTAAACCTCATTTAATCGTTAACACGGAGGTGACTCATCAGCTCCCTGCAGCCTGGACCAAAAATGTCACTGCAGTGTGGCACAATGGCAGGACGGCTCTTTAAAGTGAATCCAAACGCATTACGGCCTCTGGAGTATTTCTGCTGTCTATTAAAAACACACTCTGGGTCCTTTATTATGTGCTGGTAATCTAGGGCTTTTAGCGTGTAAACATGAGGCAAACTATTCAATCAAATCCAGTCCTAGAAGAAAGACAGCCTAGACCGTCAGCTTTCTGAAGACCAGTAATGCCAATCATAAAGGAAAATAGCTGTGGTTAAATGTGTCAAGAAAAATCATTTGGAAATTCACATACATTTAAACATGTAAGAATTTTCATATTAATTGCCTTTTTATTGCCAATGTGTGACCAGCTCGTCACGAAACTTAAAAAAACGAGACCTTCCTCGACTTCTTGGGTTGTCTATGAAAGCATGTAGACTGATTTGTATGTGGAGGACTGACTTTTTGGCGGGAAAAACAAAAGAATGTGACGTTGACGCGCACTCAGAGACTTTCTTTCATTCCATGACACATAAAAAGAAAACTTAACTTCAGGATAATGATGAAAGAGCTATTCTGTACTGTGTCATGCAAAAGAAAGAGATTAAAGGGGTGGTTTACTGCTTTTTTTTCTTTGCATGATTGTGTATATGGGTGGGGTGCAATATAACATGTCTTCGTGTTTTTTGTTTTTTAAAAAGCCTTATTTTTCATAAATTTCACCTTTATTGTAAGCCACTTTCTCCTCTGTCATTTGAACGACCGGTTGACTTCCTGATTCTATGAAACCACTCCCTCAGAAACAGGCAATGGGCTCAGATTGGTTATTTGGGCCGGTGTGTTGTAATTGGCTAAACTGCGTAGCGCACGTTGTCCGGAAACTTCACGCCCATTACCTTTACGGGCGAAAGTTGCATACGTGCTCCGGTCAAATGTAAATAATGGTGTCAACAACTGCTGCCTCTGGTTTTAAAGTTGGAACTGCTTCATGTTTTAATAACAGTTTCTTGTTGAATCCGGCATTGAATTCTTGGAGATTCTGGAAACTGTCTTCCATAAAATGCAGCACAGACTAAATTACGATTGTAATTTTCAGGAACATAATCAAACATAAATTTTAGCCATTGTTGACGAACTACAGCGTCCGTGGGAAGCCCGAACACAGAAGACCTGACAGCTGGGTGAAAATAACACACTTTCGACGGCATACAGCTCTCCACTAGAACTCTTCCTCTTCGACAAAGCCGCAGAAATATGGCCATGCCCCCTTTTTTGCATATTTCAGAGGGAGGGTTGATGTAAAT